TCAAACTGGTTTATTGCAGTCTTTTCTAGTTTGTAAGACTGTTTTTTCCGACTTGATGAAAAGGCCTTTTATGGTGTTCGAGCTCCGGTTTTTGGCATCTCAAGTGCAAGGGAGTGGAACTGCGAAAAGGCGGGTAAGCAAACGTTGGCTAAAGCGCACTGAATGCTTGGATGGCAAACAAAAGTGAAAATACACAAATCCATCAAAGATTCGCAGTGCTAATTGTAGACCAATTGATACGAAATATGCTTTCTCCCTACAATGGGAATCACTTCTAATGGGGCTCCGCCACCCACCTGGAGAGCACTTTCGGCATCCCAGACTTGTCATGTCCCACGCTCCACGGTCTCCCAGCGACATCAGATATTCTGCTCGCCTAAGTAGCCGGCGCCCATAAATCTCTGGCAGTTTTTATGTGAATGTTTTTGTGTTGTTTTTGTAAAAGTGATTTACATACTGAAGAAGAAGCCCCAGTAGGAGACTACCCAGGGAAGCCTCACTTTCGCTATGTGTGAGAGAGCAGCAGAGAAGAAATTAAATTTAAATTTGCGTTCGTCTGCATTTGGAAAACTTTAAAAAACACTCGCAAACATTTATTCGCGTAGCCGTACTCGTACAAACGAGCAAACGCAATTTTTACTTCTCTTTTGTTTGTGTTTTTTTGTCGTCGTTCGTCTTCTTTCTTATTTATAGCATTTTGCATGCATATTTGATCAAAAACAATCAAATTTTATGAGAAAGTACGAAAAACAGCAGACAAACATCTTCAAATGTTTCGGGAAAACGAAAATGGAAACGTTATGTCTTCTGTTTTTTTTTTTTGATTTTTTTTTCGACAGCGTGTTTTGTCTAGTGTGTGTGTGTACAATGTTGCATAAAGATCTTTTTAAATGAAAGTCTGGAGTTTGGTTAGGAAGTGCAAAAATACATACATTGCGTGGAGCGGGAGGGCCCATTATGACAGTCAAAAGATTAATTAGCATGGATAATTTTTACCCACAGAGAAACAGGAAATGAGAATGGGCAAAAGAATTGCCTTAAATCTTAATGCAAAATCTGAAAGCAAATCTCTGTGCTCTCCAAATTTAAACATATATGACGAAAAACAGTTTGAGTAACACTTTAAGTGCCAGAAACACGAAATATTACGCTAAATGTTACGGTTTTTTGTTTGAAAAGCGGATATTGGGTTAAGTGAAGAATCTAATTTTTGTTTAAATATTTTGTGTGCAAGTTGTGTAAAGTGTGCAACAAATATTTACCAAACTGCAGTTGTGGCAAATGTGTCTGCTTCAGATGCGTATTTTGACCCTGTTGCAGAAACACTTACAGCGAAATTTACTGACAATAAAATAGAGCCCTAGCCATTTCCATTGAACTTGAAAATGCCCTTATATTTCCCTATTTCCCTGCACCATAAAACCTTGAGTTTTACTTCATGACAACTCCACTTTAAACGAATTTTGTCAACGACTTTGAACCCGAACCCCTTGATCTAGTTCCACGTTCATCCGTTCAGCTTCACCTTCCGTCGAGCAATTTGCACTTTTGTCTCGACAAATTTGTAACTGGCCAAAGGAAAAAATATTCATCATTGTCATCATGATCCTCATCATTATCGCGGTGCTGTTACGCATTACTGGCCACGCCCATTTCGCTTCAAAGCCCATATCTGTACATAAAGTGAAAGCTTTATTCATAGTTTCCATCTGTCTTCGTCTCTGTGTGGAAGTTTAGTTTTTCACTTGTTTTATTATTAGCCAAAAAAGTGTTGCACATTTTTCACATGATTGTGTTAATCAGCTTTTGCCTTTCATTATAGACCACTGTCTATGCTAAGCTAAAAATAATGCGAATTTTTCGGTGTATCTTGTCCCAGGTCGACATTTGAGCGTTTTGCATAATGTCTGCCCGTTGGGGGGACACCATAACTCTGGGACCTGGACTGGGTTATGGGAGGAGGCGTTGTTTTTGGCGTCCACACAGGCATAACCAAAGTTTTCGTTTTATGATCCACTAATAATTGTCATATGGTTATAGGCTACAAGTAACTCTGTTTGGCCGTGGGCGTTTGTTGGAATGGAATTGAAATTGGTCTGGCTGGTAAAGCTGTTAGTCATCTGGACCAAGAGGTGCTAAACGGCTGCGGTCATAAATTGTTATGATGTACTACATATACATACACATAGACATATGTGTGTAAATGTAAACACTTTTGTGGGCTTTCACTTGCCAAAAGTTGCGTGCGAATTTTGGAAATGGTACATGTAGGGAGATACGGTGAGAGCAGAAAGGGAGTTTCACTGCCGATCATGCGGGTAAGGTGCGAAAATGCAGCAAAAATTGTGTAAAGTGCGGGTGCAAAGATAGCTAAATGTTGCCTTTGTTTGCTCTACATAAAGTTTATAATGTTTTTTAGCAGAAATAAATACTTTAATTTCATTTTGCCTATTGTTTGTTTGCCACTCTCGCACTCATGTGGCGACTGAGATCAGTCCTATGCTTCCACAACTATTTAATCACTAATTCAAATATAGGGTACCAGCAGTGCGGCTCTCTCTTTTTGCAATCAAGCAACATGCTAGGGATCTCCCACTATTCTTGAAACATACACGATCTGTGGCAAATTGATGAACAAAAGCGTTGATTGCCTCGCGGTGAGAGATTGACTTTTCTTCAATTTTCTTCAGCCACCCGCCATACTCGTACTCATGCTGAAATAATTAGCTTTCCCATTGCTAGCCAGCAGCGTGAAAAGCTGTACAATAAACACATGTACATACATATGTACATATGTACACTGTACATGCACAGTGGTGGCAAATAAAATCAAACAAAATGCTAAATAAAAACAACAAATGGCATGGATGCAATTACAAGTGTGTGAATGTGTCAGTGCATGTCTGTGGCTTGGAGCAAGAAAGAAAATAATGAAGAAGAGAATGTGAAGAGCAAGCCCCAAACAAACTCTCTTGGTTTTTCTATAAGCTCGGCTTGGAGACAGAGACTGAGAGAGAGAGAGAGAGAGAGAGAGCTCGAGCTCTCTTGACCCGCTTTTGTGACGTTCCCTCGGTTCTAACTATTTTAAGTCACGCTCCAAGTTGCAATGAAAATAAAAGTAAAACGCTTATGAGGTAAGCCCTAATCCATAGGGAAAACAAAATTGGAAAACATGCATAATATATGCTAATTCATGCGAAAGTAAAGCTGATGGCATAACCATATTAGATTCAATAATTATTGAATTTTCAAAATCATATTTGGGCTTCAACTGCTTTGAACTCTCGTTTTATCGCGTGTTAATGAAGCTGCCCAACATCTGTCCGGCAGTTATTTAAGCCGCGCCAATTAATTAAATTAATTAATATCAATTGGTGCATGCACAAAAGAGTTGTGTAAATAACGTCAACAGCTACATGCACCAATGTTGTTTGAGAATTTTCATGTTTTCCCCTTGCGAAAATCACATATCAATATTTAAATATTTGCACAATTTTGTTTTACAAACAATAAGATTGTCTTTTCGCTAAATTGCAGTGGCAATTATAAAAAAAAATGTGTTCTTTGGGCAGTTGCAAAAAATAAATGTTTGCCCATTGATTGATTGATTGATTGACTGACTGCCAGCCTGATTGAGGGACTGACTGACCAACGCACCAATCACTGAGCACTGAGAGTTTGCAGCTGCAGGAAAGTGTCAAAATAAGCGTGAAATTAATGCAACTGCGTGAATTAAGTACACAAAGCACATGTTTGACCATAAATCAGACATTTAATTAATGCCAGTAATTCATACATTAACTACTATATTAATTTGTTCTTTAAATAATTAACCAAAAATACCCATGCGGAATATGTCCGTGCATGTGATACGAGAGACTTAATTAAATTTTTCCCACTCTCATTTCATAATTTTTCAAGATTTTTGTCTATAGACAAAAGTTTTCAAATACTCCATTTAGGTTTGAGTTAATGAAAGGTAAATGCTCACACCCTTTATGAAAATGTTTTCCCTGTAGCCAATTAGCCCATAACATGTGTATATTCAGCGTATCATTAGTACACATCTCGACGCACTCGTTGCAACAGTTTCGCTTTTTTGGGCCACACAAACATTGCACAATATCGGACGCAGTGGCTCAGATCTGTGGCCCAAACACCTCTGAATGGTCAAAACAGTCGGGGCGTCCGTCGACCATCAGCAGCTAATGAGTGGACAGTCGGTCAGTCAGTCAGTCAGTCCAACGGGCCACAAGCCGATCCGAACTTAACCGAACTGACGTTGCCTGAGTTCTGTAAAAGGCCAGAACAAACAGTACAAAAATGTTGGCCAAGAGCGGGAGACGGCTCTGGTCTTTTGGCTACTTGAAATAGTTGAAGTTGAGTTGAAGTTTTTTCTTTTTTGTGGTGTTCCTTCTTTTTCTTTGGTGTTTCTTTTCATCTTTGTGTGCCGGCGGCCCCAAGGTGCTACACCAAATGAGTTATGAGAAGAATTGAGCTCCACAAAAATGTACAAAGATTGTAGCATTTAAAGTAGAGCAATAATTGAAATAAAAAAAGGTAGCAGCAGCACCGGCTAGATTAATAGAAATATCTGCAATTATTTTGCTGCCGTTGGAGCACTTAAAATTTAACGAAAAAGTTTCAGTTTTTTCTGTGTTTTTCTTCAATTACATCTAACTCCGCTGACCCTGAATTGTCTTTCACTTTTAGCTGACCAAAACGGCAGCTGCGAAAACGGAAAGTTAATCGAGAGCAAAACTTGGATCTCTTCGAAGATTTCTTCTTCATGTACGAAGCAGCCAAGACAAGCCACCAAGATATCCATCCAGCCACCAACGTACGTACGAGTACTCGATTCATTCAATAGGCAATTATGACCGGTTTTCAATTAAACTGAAACTGGAACTCAATTGCATTTCCTCTTTGTAACAAACTTTACGAGTAGATACATTCTGGGGTGTAAAGAAAGAATGAAATCTCTCGCTTGGATCACTTACCGCTTGGGATACGGTATACGGCGATATTTGAAGGCATTTTCCACATCGCGCAGCTTCATTTTGTACGAACGATCGGCGCCCAGAGACATTCAACTCGGAATACACTCGCAAAGGGATAGACACACACGCGTTAGTCAGATCACGGATGATCTTCCAAGATTCTTTCTCTATGGATTATGTTTGTCTGAGAACTTTCGGACAGCACTTCACTTTAGTGGTAAATATATTCAATTTTGGGGCATGCGGCTCCAAGTGTTTGAAGAGCAACGAGAGACACAGACGTCTGGAGCTCACAACGTTCGCGGCTTGACTGAGTGTTCCTTGGGGCACTTGGCCGCCTTTTTGGCCAACTTTGAGTCGACGGCGACGGCGCACGAGCGTCGGCCGCTTAACGCTTACGTTTTTACCGTTCATTGTTGTTATTGTTGGTGTGTGTGTGTGTTGCTTTTACCATTTTCTTTTGCGGCTTGGCTCTCTTGGCCAGATCTTCCGTGAACTCTCTTTTGGGCCGATCTTTCGCTCTTTGGCCAAAGCCGCACCGAATATTATGGGACGTGACTGTGGTCCATTTGTTTGTGGTAACATTTTTATATTACCAGTCTGACATTAATCTAGTTAGACATACACACATATTTATTTAGGTCGTTCATATTGAAACACTTTGTGTCTGTGAGATACATTTATTGTCCGTAGGGAACAGCATTCAGGCAACTGTTCAAATATCCTCCGGTGCGCAATGCATAACCTGTTGAAACAGTTGGCCAACCTCAATATTCTTTTGCCCAAAAAATAACTAAAACTATGAGAACTCCACCACGTTGGCAGCAAGAACATTTCTGGCTGGAAGAGCTGCAGGAACAGGTTTACCTTTGAACTTCAGTGTCCCCCTATTAATAAGCGGTCGAAAAGCTGACCTTCCCGGTTTCGTAATTTCCATCGATTAGTTTTTGGCGCTCGTGCATAAATTATAGGTTCTTCTCGATTCTTTTGGTCTTCTCCATCATTCATTAGCCTGCCTGTTTTATTCTGGATTTTTGTATAATTTTGGCGCAGTGTTAGTTTGGATCTATAGAATCTCTGTTCTCTTAGCCTCCGCACTTGCTGTCCGCAAAGCTCATTGACCCTCATTGGCTTAGAGGCACTTGGTGGCAACAGTGGGCGAAAGAAGTACTCAGACACACTTGGTGTGTGGTGTGATGAAAACTATACTTATGACATTTAACTTCAATGCTAATGAACGAGAGTTCATTAAGAACAAATTATACATCAAATAAAAGTTGAGTCACCTTTTGTACACCATAAACATATACTTCCGCAGCAGACTGTAGCTGACTTGTCCACCAAATGGCGTCTGACGGCTGTGCCCAGACCCACAACTATCTGCCTAGATCCACACTTTTGTTCGGCAACAAAAAAGCTGATTGTTTAGACTATATAATTTTTTGCGATTTTTTCAACAAGCTGAAAATTCGTGTAAATTTCTCGATAACAAAGGCAAAAAACCAAAAAGTGCCAGCGTCAACATAAAACTAAAGAAAAAGTTAAATAACAAAAAATAAAATGAAATGGGAAAAAAAGCCACCGACCGGCAACTGGCTATAATATATGGATGGCAATAATTGAAAGTTTTTGCAAGTAGCACCAAGAAGGAAAGAGAAATGAGTGGAGAAATATATTTACCGAGCAGATGATAAGTCATTTGCATAAACAAGAATTCCAGTGGCCCTGCGCAGCGGATGATTTAGACAAATCATCTGGGGCTTTGTGACCACATGTCCATTGCCTAACCAGATGGAGCTCGAGATGGTGACATGCCCTGCCCCCCCTGATGACAGTTTGGGTTTCGAGGTCCGACAACTGTAACTCACCTTAGGTTTTTGTTTGTGTTCTTCTGGTTGTTGCCTGCTGGTGCCGAGTATGTTTTATGCTTTTTTTTCTGCTGCCAAGTGCTGCTTGTTGTTTTTTTTTTCGTTGCTGAAAGCGGGAATTGTGTGTGGGGAACAAAACTGCCGCTGCGTGTGGCAGTTTTGCTGAGCTGCCAACTCGATTGTAAACAACTTCAATTGGCCCTAGGTGCAAATACGAATACAAATATGCCCATATGTGTGTGTGTGTGCGGGTGCATGTGTGGGGGAGGCTATGCGTGTGTGCATACAACGAGGGTGGTTAGAAAAGTACAGAGATGCAGCTGGAAAGCTATTGTTTATTACTGTAATGATACTTATATGAATATAAAAGTTCCTTCCTTTTCGTTTTAGAGAATCCTTTTCAACCTCTACACCTACTACTTTCTTTGCCCAAACTCTTCTACTTTTGAAAGCAATTCGTGGCAACTCTTTTTACCCGCCTCGTTGACAGGTTACCGGCTTTTCGTCGCTTATCAACGCTGTTTCGACCAGGTCCAGTGGCCAGCAACACAACTAGCGGCAATAAACTGAGTCACAGCACCGAGAGGCCGAATGAGAGGTCAAAAGGTGCACTAGGAGAGTAGCAGTACATATAGTCGTACTCTGAACAGAGCACACAACATGCCGCTTGGTGGCTTATGTTTTATGCGGGCCATGGGAGAAGCCAATTCAACCTCAACCCCCAAATCCGAACCGTAGTAGAACATAGAGCCAACCACCCATGCCCGAAGGCGTTCAGCATCCAGCATAGGAGTCGCATTGAAGCGGCTTTGGCTTTAACACCATTTTGTTCGATGTGCAGGATGTCGAGGTTACGGGATGTCCACTTGCCCCGGATGCGGGCAATCAAAATCTGTGGCCTACTTGGCTGCCAGCTATTTGTGGAACGATTTGAGTTTGCCGTAGTTTTGGCTTACGGGTTTCCCCCCAAGCGTCACACGGAACCGTGGACCGGCACGGTCCGTAACATGGCGCAGCCCCGCTCTACAATTTCGAGCCATAAATAAAGTCAGTTTGTGTATTTTTTAAATTTTTGGTTTTGTTTAAAGTTCTTTTTTGTTTTAATTGTCATGGTTTTTAAATACTCGTTTCATCTATTTGATTCAGTGCGTCATTATTTTAGGGTTTTCCTTTTCATATACGTATAATATTCTCTATATAAATGTTTGGTTTAGTTTTATTTTTTATCATACAAGTGAAACTTACTTTACTCCATAAATCGAAATGCAAACTGAGGAAAATATATGACCAAAAAAAACCGAAAAATAGTAGAAATGAAATTTCGAGAGAGTTCTCTGCTCTTCCCTTTCCCGTTTGTGTTTTTCTTTATCTATTTGTGTAGTTTTTTGTTTTCTTTTTGTTTTTTAATTAAATATGCGTAGTGTGTACGCGTTTCGACTATTTACACAGCTGTCTGTATTTTTATTATTATTTACCATCTCACACACTTTTCCTTTTTGTTTTCCTCCGCCATCATTCTCTCTCTGCAATCGTATTTTTTCCACTTTATTTTCGAACATTTCAAATAAATTACATGTTGTGAGTGTTTTATGCGCTGTCATATTTTTTATCTTCGAATTCTTCACTTTAAACACAGTTGGCACAGAAATTTCCATAGTTTGGTTTGATTGAGAGAAGGAACTGAACCCCGAACTGATGTTTGAGATGATGTGTATGACGACAATGGTGGCCAAGGAAATAGTAACAGCTTGGGCGCTGCTCTTAAAGCTACATATTAATTTTTGTTGACAATTTATCATGCCATTTTATGTATGCATATACTCATATATGTATATAGTATATTTCATTATTATTTTGTCTCTTATAGTACAAATGTATGTGTAAAATATCCTCCTATATGTATGTTAGGTTGTGGGTGTGTTGGGCAAATAATAACTCTTTATTTTTTGTCATAAAATCGTAAAAAGTGCGCATCGTTCTGTCTGTTCTTCCTTTTTTATTTTTATTATTCATTCCTTTTTTCGGCTATAAATATTTAGGTTATTTGCTATCAAAAAATGCAACTGAAAATATTTGATTTAATTCGTGTATATATTGACTCTTTTTCCGTTTTTTAATGCCGACTAAATTATATATATGTATATGTATTATGGAAGTTGCAATTTTAATGGATTCTGTCTGCATATGGCAGGGGCTGGTTCATTTTAAAATTCTCATCGCAGACCACCAGAAGGTATTAATATTATTTAGCTTTTGTTTTCTTGCATTTACCTAGTTTTAGTGTCTATAAAATAAAGTACTTTTGTCTTCTTTTTATGCTTTTCCTTTTTTATTTTTTATTTTGGTATTTGCTTAATCCTATCAACTGCCAAAAGTTTGATTGTTTAAATGGGTTATGGGCCATGGCATGACTTAAATGCTAGGGCTTGCATTCTCTTTTTTTTGTTTGCTATAATTTACTTTATTTTATTCTATTTTTTGTTGTTAAGTTAGGAATATGATTTATTGCAGCTACAAACATTTTGGAATTTAAAAATGAGAACTTGATCCTGAAAAATAATCGCCTGTTAAATATATTTACATAAATATGCGAATTGGTTTTTGCATTTTCTTATAGAATATTCTGGCAGTTCTCTTGATTAAGTTGAAGAAGTGAACATTTTCTCTGATTTTATCGAGCTCTACTTTAATCGTTATAAACAATTTTATTTCTCATACGATTGTATATTGTATGTTTAATAAACCACTAAGTGATGTTCTCTGCATTATTTGTGTGTGAGAGTGTGCTGTGCTTTACGATAAAAAACCCAAAAGTTCTGACTTCTACATATACATACATTGTATAGTACTAGCTAATACCCTATACATGTATTTCAAATCGAATCATGACCATGTAGTACCATGTAAATGCTGCGATTTGGTTGTGTGTTTAAACATAGTTCAGTATGTGCATGCCTTGGATCACAACACTGTCGAGACTTCCCCCACCTACTATCCAATATTTCTGCTCCAAATGCTGTTAGCTCTTTTATGCTAGTTTTTCCTTAGAAGTTATTTGCCAGAGCGGCCCTAAAGAGTACATGCCTAGGGATCTGCTCTTTGAGTTGCTCTTTTCTATACAATTTCATTGTAGTTTTCTGATCTTCTTGCATTTACTTAGTTCCTTAATGTATTTGCTTACTTAACTTCCGTTGAATGGGTGTGCTATGTGCTATATGGTAAATACCTAGGCCAAAGGCTTCATCTACTATCCGCCCTCGATTTATTTGCTGTCTATCCGAACTAACTTTATTAAAGGTACCTAATTTACAATAGTTTTTTTTCTTGCTTTTTGGTGTTGTTGATGCGTCTACATAGTCTTAAAAAATGAAAGATAACTCAAATGAACAGATAATATGCGAAGGCAAGAAGCTGCTTTTTATAATATTGAAGAAATTATGAGAATAGTTCCATACACCTCATGAAAAAGTCTCTTAAATTCTTTCCTCGTATTCGAAATTGTTTTAAAGAAAATACACTTTGCTTTCCCCATAGATTTGAATATCACTGTCCCTAATTTTTACAAAAATCCACAGAAATCTTTCCATGACTGCTATCCCGAACTAAATAAAAAATACCCAAAATATATACAGACGTGTAGAACAAAAAACAAAACAGTTAGAATAACACAAAATCTATACAAACAGAAGATCGATCGGCTGATCGACTGTCCCTATGACTATGCACCATTCACACTCGCACTCGTTTCTACTCGATTGGTTACTCTTCCAGAAGCGTTTAGAAAATTGTATCGACTTACAATTTAGATTTATATTGTGTTGACGCTTCCCCATTTCATTCACATACCTTCATCGTCATTTTCAATAGCTTTAAAATCTCCAGGCCAGACCCTGAACTGTGTCGAGGGGAGAACCCTGCTGATCGCTACGTCAGGCCATTTCCATCTCCATTCCCAGCTCTAGGTGCTCATCGTAGGGCAGGCCACAGCCGGCGGCAACATATCACACGGTGGTCTCCCGATCCACATGTATGTACTCGACCGGCTGGTGCCCGTGTCAGGAGGCCGGATCGATGAACAGCGCCTCCTTCTTGAAGTCCTTCTTCAAAGTGCCGATGCTTGCGGCGGATACATTCCCATTGCTGGCGCCATTCATGAAGCCAATGCCCCCGCCCACGCCTCCAACGCCCCCCACACCACCACCCTTCTGCACCACGCTCTTTTTCCGTTTTCGCATCAGTCCGAACATGCAGAAGATTAGGCATGCGGTCAAAGCGGCAGCGATGCATCCCAGAGCGGCAAAGACGCCGCCAGGCAACTCCAGCAGCTTGCGGGCTGTGCCGCATTCCTCCTCCGATTCATCGAAGCCGCTGGGGCAGTTGTGATGACCTGTAAGCACGGACAGAGAGGGAGAGAGTTGCAGTCTGAAACCGAAGTTGATTGAAAAACAGAAAGTGTATGGGGAACGGGAATGGCAAGGGGATTGGGGACTGGGAGCGTCAAGAGGTGTCTTCTCTAAGGTTACAAATTGAATGCAGTGTCACTTGAGTGGCCCGTCGGGGCCAAAAGCTTGTTTAATGCCCTGGCTTTTGCGGTTAACCAGCTCCAGCTGCAGTCCCGCCTGGCTGCCCATAAATAATTGAAGCTAAAAGCCAAAGTCCAGGCCAGCCTGTGCTTTTTTATGTCCCCCAATCCCCAACCCCAAATGCGGGATCTATGTGTGGGTATATGCGGATTGGTATGTGTTATATTTGGTAAAAAAATCCACTTGATTATTGTTGAAATATTCACTTAGAAGAGGGTTCCGAGAGGCTCGATAGTTTTTTCGCTCCTTAAAATAGTTCTTCAATTGTTTTTCTTTACCAAACTCTTTAAAGGGTATTTGTACAGCCGCTAAATGGTATCTGTCGCACTTTTGTCTCTCATTTTTTTTCTCTCCTACTTTTCATCTCTCAAGTGCAGCACAAATAAGTTTGGCACAGCTGTTGCGGCTATTTGGGTTGCTGCGGGGCTGGACTCGACTCGGCTGGGATGGACTTTACTGGACTGAACTGAACTGAACGCGGGGACAAACTTTTTGCGCAAGACATTTTGGGGTTTGGTCTTAGTGCTGCGGGTTTGTCCAACAACCAGAAGACCAACCAGACGACCGACCGACCGACCGACCAACGAACCAACTAACAACCAGCAGCAACACGGACTGGGAGTAGCCCAACGGACGAGACGCAGCTGCGGACAGCGGGATGGGTGGTGCAGTTGTTGAGAAACTTTGCCTGATTACAAAAACGTGGACAGCTTGCAATGAAATTAACAGACAGGACATGGCCACAAGTGAAATTTTGTGCTGCCTAGTGCAAGGCGCAGGCAACAGGAGAAATGCGCATGTCAAATGGAGAGAAACGAGAAACGAGAAACGAGAAACGAATGCCGAGCGCCAAATCACGTACAAATAATGCAAAACTTCAGGCAACGCGCTTGGGTACAAGAGTTTGTTGGTATAGATGAATATATTCTCTGTGAAAACGTTTCACTAAGGATAGAGCAAGCCTCGCGTTTCACTTACAGAGTCAAAGAGTTGGGGGAAAGGGCAACTATATCTGCCGCAAGTTGCAATGTGTACTTACCATCACACCACAGGCTGGCTGCTATGCATGCATCAATTTCAGGACATTTGTATTCGCAATCTGACTCCTTGGGATAGAAACCAAACTCGTTCAGAGTTTCGTTGGCCGTGGCACCGGTTGCAGTGCCTCCAGCGCCGGCAGCACCACCACCAGCCCCGGCTACACCAGCACTGCCTGTGCCGACAACTCCGCCGGAGCCGGAACTATGACCAGAGGGTTGGGAGCCCGAGCCGGAGCTCAGGCCCGTGGTCACGCTTGCGTTCACATGCAGGTCCAACTGCTGCAGCAGCGCATTCTTGGTGCGATGTATCTCCAGCCATGTGAAGGCTATATCGCCGGGTTCCTTGAGTATGGGCTCCAGCACCAGACTGATGGGCCTGCACGGTGGAAGAGACAGGAAATAGGATTGTGAGAGAGTGGAAAAAACATTCAGCTAAGTTGTAAACATTTTGGCAAGAGCTTCCTCCTCCTTCCATCAGCCTCCCCATCCCTGTCATGCAGCCACGAATGCCATGCTCTACATAACTTTCGTGGCAAGTTTCTGGCCGTGGAATAGCGGACCTGCCCGGGGATAGCTACTCCCTTTGCTTCTTCTGGATATCTTCTCCAGCCTCAGTTGCTCAAGTGCATCTAATTACGCACAACTTTCCAGTTGCCATAGACAAAATATATCTCTTTCAGTTTCAGCCTCAAGTCGGTTGGGGAGGCATTAAGCTTCTTAGCCATCAAAGTTGCTGCGATTTCAGCGCAAAGACGGAGGCAAATTGGATGCATTGAGTGGAATCGAAATGGAATTAGGGATACTTCAGGCAGTATGTTACAAGCATCCCCATCAGCTATTCCTCTCTAGAAATTATTCCTCATGCACCTGAAGCTTCACTTGAATCCACTCTTGTCAGTTTGTCTATTTTAATTCGCAGTCGAGTTGAAAAGCTCACAATTAATTATCTAAAATGGCTCGACACGCTCATTAGCCAGGCCCGGATATCCAGTGCAATGTCCAATTACCCTTTGGGGTCCCATAAAAATATGTTTTCACATGTCCCGACCACAATGCAACATTCCTCTGCATGTCTCCTTTTTTTCTGCTCTGTTCATTCGTGCTCCTCTGTCTCTCTTCTTTTTTTATGGTCTGTGGCGACAAAATTGAGCAAAATGCAAACATGGGCAAAAGGGGACAAAAAATGTTGACCATAAAATTTAATGGGTTGGGTACACGTTAAAAAAGAAGACACACTGACCGTTGCCGAGTCACACACAGTGGACCACTGAGCACACACCGTAGAGGCCTCGGCTGGGACCGGCTCGGAGCGGTTCAACGGTTCATTTCGGTGGCACGCACCTTGAACATAAATTGCCGGTGCACAAACAGAGCAAGGAGTGGTGTACCTGTACCACAGCCACCCATACCAGCCCAACGGAACCCATCTTCCATCTGTCTTCGCTTCATGTGTGCGTGTGTGTGCATGTCTGACGGCCATGTTTGTTTGCCTGGACTTCGTCTCGTTTGGTTTCTTTTTTGTATCTCTCTCATGGCATATTTCTTTGCGCTCAATTTCCTGTATTTTGTTGCCGTCGTAGCCATTTCCTGTTATTGCATTTTAAAGCAGGACTGTTTGAGAGGGCGAGGATGGGGAGTGTGCACAGTGGGGAGCAGTGCAAAAGTTGTTGAAATATTAGCAACTATTCAATTGCAATTAGTTTTGTGCAAAAAATGCCAGCAAATACTCAGAGACTAAGAGGCTTTCTGTGTCGAGTACACGAGAGGCTCTGCTCCTGCTCGAGCAAGCCCGAACTCATGCGAGGAATGCATTTGATAATGGATTGGGTCTCCGAGCCATTAGGCTTGCATGTTTTCTTAGTTTTTCTTTCTATTTCTTTTTTTTTGCAGCTTTGACAGAGGAGAACGAGTACGGCATGGTATGGCAGTTTGAGTGGGTAAAATGGGAACATACTCCCATAAAAACGTATCCGCTTAGCTACAAAAATATGAAGAGGAATTTCTGTGCAATTGTCGCCAAGAGCTTGTCATCTATTTCCCCACTTACTTGTTCATGAACAACGGCTGTCCATTGGTCCAGTCCTCGGAGAAAATGTGCAGCGACATGGGCCTAGGTCCACTCTGGGCGGGGCACACCACTCGCATGGGCTTGAGCGGTCTGCCCGAGTAGATCATCAAACGGTTTTTGGTGTGACAGCGCATGGCATCCTCTGAGGTGGGATCCACGGGCAGATAGGCGCCCCAGGTCTGCACAAAGAGCGAACGTTCGGCGGACTGGGCCTCGATGTACCAGGCCAGGCCCTCGCAGCTGGCATCTTGAGTCTTCAGGGGATACTTGAGATCATCCTCTCCACCGGCGCCCTTCAACTTCAATTGCTTGCGACAGTCTGGCTGCCGCTTGAACTCGTACGAGGCGGAGAAGAAGACATCGGCAAAGTCCTCGGAGATGTTCAATCGAGTCACTGTGAAGCTGAGCTCCATAATCCGCGAGTGGGAGACGAACGTCAGCGGTGCGTTGCTGTACAGGGAACTGGAATTGTCGCAGAAGCAGCCCAGCTGGATTTTCACATCTCGAAAGGGCACATCAAAGAGGCGCAGCTCCGTGATGCGTCCCTCTGGGTCCAATTGATTGCATCGCGGCCTGCCCGTATGCAGATCCGAGTCAGTGGTGCAGGACGTGCCCTCGCCAAAGGAGACATTGTGCAGCACCAGCTTTACCCGCTCCGACGGACCGGCCTCGAAGCGGTACAGACAGGTGATGTTCTTGGCTCCGCCTCGGCCGTAAAGGAAGACATTCCTCGGCACCTGGATGTTGCCTTTGCGCTTGCGAAAGATTCTCGAGCACAGGGGCGGCACTGGATCCTCGCCACGCCTGCCGGGCCAGGTGTCACCACCCTGTTCCGTGTCCACAAACTCGTAGTTCAAAGCGAATTGTGCCGGGAACAAGGCTGTTCCCGTATGCGTATGGAACTCCAGTTTCTGCAAAAAGAGAAAGACAAAAAGAGACAGTTGAGCAGAATTCCACGAGGGGAGGCTTCAATTTGTCATCAAAACATTTGCAGTTCATATTTGTCAACGGCAACGAGCGAGAATCCACGCGGCGCCGTCAAAAAGGCTAAGCAGGCTTATTGCGGTTGCCTGTTTGTCCGTGCATGCCATCACACACTCACACACACCACTACAATCCCTCTACAACACACTCTGCAGTGCCTCCCCTCTGTATTTGGCTTTGTGTGCTCTTGTGCTTTGGCGAATTTGAATTTGGCGCCTGCCCCGGAGGCTTCACATCGCCTCCGCTCGCCACGCCTCGCCTCGCTTCTTCGTTATTTGCGCACGTCTGGCGGTGCAGTCGAGTGTTTAATTTGATTAATTTTGTCAAGTTTAAAGCAAATACGAAATGCTCTGCATACTGCCAAAAAATCCCTAGCTGCTTCTGCTGCTCCTGCTGCCATGTTGTGCTCTGCTGCTGCTGCTGCTGCTGTTGCTGTGAGAGCCCTTGGGCGTGCCAAATTGGGCACTCGGCACTCGACCGGGCCAGGTGCAGTCACACAAAGTTCTGTTTCTTTTTTTTTCCCCGAGGGGGCAGCACAAAATAACAAACAGCAGTAGCTGACAAATTAGAAAAGTCTTTGGCTTGTTTTTCTATAGACTCGAAGAATATTTTTCCAAGTCACGTGGGGGTATGGCAGCATTTTCCACAAAAGGAAAGTATATATATTTTCGATTAAAATGAAGAGCTGTGTAGCCAGCTATGTACTGCATTTCCTTTTGTTTGTTATTTATCAAAATAACTTATATTCCAGTCCCTCGAGTTAGAGTTATCGGAAGGCAAGAGTCACGTTTGCGGTTGCAAAAATACACCGAAAAAACTTTACAGAATTTTGATGGCTGGTAACATCTAGTTCGAAGTTCTGAGTTCTTAAATCTCCATCTCCCAAAAGTATGCCACATTGCTCCTTGAAGCCACAATATAGTCTCGTAAATCATTGCCTACTTTTTGGTGGCACAACTAATGCTAAAACTTACCAAATCTCTGCCCGTGCTCACGTAGCTCTCCAGCGGACTGCATGGTCGCAGCTTGTTGCCGCCCATCAGGGCGCTGCTGCCGCTCACGCCGCTCCCAATGGCCGTGTGATCGCACAGCTTGGGCGTCTCGTAGTCGAAGATCTCCAGCATGAGGCGTCGCTTGCCCTTGGTGCTCATCAGCGCCACTGCGCTGTTCCGCTCCGAGCTGAGAACAGCGGCAGCAGAGGCGCCCGCGCTGCCATCTTTGACGGAGGACTTGCCTCCGGAAATGTAATTGAGGCTCTCCTTGACGCCGGTCAGCTGCTTGCCTGAGCCACCCGGACCACCAGCAGCAGCTGCACCACCGGCACCGCCCTGATAGCCACTGTACTTGTTCTCCTGATTGAACACACTCGACTGTGTGGGTCCGTAGATGTACGTGTCCACGGGGTTCCAGGCATTGTCGATATTGACGCGCAGATTTCGATTCAGCTTCGGATTACTGGCACTATAGTAGTAGCTGCCGTAGTTGCTTTGATTGAGGAGCGTTGGTTTGCCACCGTCCGCTGAGGAGGCCACTGGCGGTGGTGGTGGCGGCTGTCCGGTGGTTGAACTTGTTGATTTCATGGGCACATATGTGCCATAGCTGTCCCACATCCTCAGGCGGGTTATCCAAGGCGGCAGATCGCTCTGGGGGACATGAAAGAAAATTGGTAGAAAGGACGAAAGCGAATGGAACACATGTTATTGTTTAATTCTCTTGTTGACATTATTGTTTTGAGCTCGTGTTTGCCCCTCTGCTATGCTGCCCCCACTCTCAGAGCTTTTCACGCGTTTTTCATGCTCTTTCTCATTGCTTGTTTTTGTTTCTTCTTTGTTAGTTCTGTAGCTGCTGCTGTTGCGCTGCTTTTCCACTCTCCAGTTTGTCACATGTCATATTCAAACAGTTCCAAGTGTGAGTTATTTGTCGTTTGTCACTGTCCCTGTCCCTGTTCCCCCTCGCACTCACTGTGGACCCCATATCTCTCACACTCTCTGTGTACCACTCCTAGAACCCCTCTGGTAGTTGTGTTCTCCAGATTCTTTATAGCCTTCCTGCTGCTGCTGTTGCTGCTGTTGTTTGCAGGCATTAAATATTTTCACTAGACGCCTCCTTGGCTGCTGACAAGGTTTATGTTTTCCCCCGCTGTTCCGCTCGCTCTGCCGCATTGCCACATTCCGACATTCCATTCCGCCTAGACCAGGCCCTGATTATTGTTGACTGTGTTAATAATGAAAAAGACAGTTGCAAACAGCTGTGGCTTGACTTGACTGCCGTACCAGACTCCCGGGCACAGCGGCACCTCCCACAGCCCACTCTTTGCCTGCAACTTGGACCAGAAACTAACTAACTGACAGCCTTTTAAGTTGTTTGGCGAAATGATCTTGTGATTAAAGTGTGTTGCTTTTTTCCTGTATACTTTAGCCTTGTTAAAAGCTTAAATGGTTATATAACTTTAATCCGGTTGGGTATCCTCTGTTGATCTCGAAATATTTTGCATTTCTCACATTCAGCATCACTTTCAGCATCAAACTTTAATAAACAAACTCCGCACATGCATGCAGGAACCACACTAATAAATTCCACACATACCTGTGGGTACATGTGTATATGTAGCTGCATGCCACACACATGCCGCACCTTGTTTACTTTACCACATTCTTCTTTCCACACCTTTGGAAACTTTTCACCTGTCATCTAATCAGATAAATTGCCAACAGCTTTCCATGCTCTCAAGGTCGTTCGCTGTCTAGACGTACATATGTATGCACATACATATATACCAGTTCGAGTATATTCGAAATTAAACTCAGACATCTCATGGTAGTCCAGCATATCTTGCACCCGAAAACGCTTTGGGAATTCCTGTGCCAATTAATACGATAACCCCCGCATTGAAATAAATCCGTAAGAGGGTCATCGTGGGTGGGAAGTAGAAGGAGAGATGAGACATCCACCCACACAATTGTTTGTTCCGCTTTATTTGCTCTGTAGCCCATCCCCCTCCCGGATGCTCACTGTTCGTGTCAATTGCAGTCGTCTCACCTACACTTTAAATTGCGAAAAATGAAAAGCTGCCAGCAGCACACAAATAAACGAAAAAACAAAAAGAATGGCAACGGGGGTGGGGAAATGTGGGGTGGGGGAGAGCACAGAAAAACAACTTTACAGTAACACTTACTATCCCTATCACTCCCCAAACAGAACAGCTCACTCTTTCTCTGAAACTTTCTCCATGCTCTCTCTCCCTGGCTGCCTCTTTAACGTCTACAAACGTGGGAGTACAATAAAAAGTGACAGAACAAAAATATGTGTAAAATAAAACACAAAACGGGCGAACCAGAGGGGCCCTGAAAGGGGGAATGCTGGGGGGTGGCATAGCAGCAGCGGGTGGAGTCACTGAGTGGAGGAGTCACTAAAAGCACGGAGAGTGGGGCCTGTAGAGCTGCAAAAACAGTTCATGAATTTTGTAACAGCAACCAAAAGTGACAAAAACAACAACCAGCATCAGGTACGAAACATGGCTGGGTAGAACGTAAGGCCAGGAGGCAGGAGGGGAACAGGCAGAGTGCTGAAGTCCGTGGTACGTGGGCGATGTATGACATTGCGATGGGAGCAGTAGGCGGAGTGGGGTGACGCGGGTGCGACATATACCAGTATCGAGGGCAACAAACAAACTCACAAACAAGTGAATGCGAATTCTCGAACAAAGCTACAAAAAAATAATAATAATGAAGGGTATTTTTATATACCCTTGAAGATCCATTGGGCGCAACCTTATAGTAGTACATTCTGGTGGAATTTGGAATATTACCATGTGAAGTTGCTGCCACAAAATAGCTTAAGAATTGAGGTCTTACTACCCATAACACTTCGATTCTGTTTGTTTCTCTTTCTCTGCACCACAAACATCTAGTGGTAATCGTAATACCCTCTAAAAGGGTATCAAAAGTACAGGAAAAACACACACAAACGCACAACAAATACCGGAGCAGAGCAAACTTTTTAAATTAAGAAGAAAAGTTAAAACTCGCAAACAAAAAACAATAAGGGAGAGAGCGGAGAGGAGCGAACCGTTGCGTTGGCGGAAGCAAAATGATTGCTGTGTGGTGGATCCACAGAAATGTTGGGGGGGGGGGGGGGGGGGGGGAAATACTTATAATGCGACGACATTTATGAGACCACGCAAAGCGTTGACATGTTGTTCCGGCTCCCACTCACACTTCCCTCCGATTCGCGGTTTTTGATCTCCACCCGAGTTTGACTAGAGTTTGGAATCTGTTCAAGTGGGAATTACAGAGGGAAACAAGAAAAATCCCACACTAGCACACTGTTTAGAAGGTGCAGAGCTTGACGAGAATTCGGACATGGAGAGCTATCTACTAAGTTGGTCATTTAAATGCGCAGAGAAACTTTTGGTGCTACATTTTTGAGACTTTTCAATAGGAAAAAAGAATAAATACTCATAAGAATTATTTCGCAGGATTCGCAGGGAAGGAATAGAAAGTTCAGAACATATGATTCAGTTTACTGCGCTCAGAAGTCTTGAAATTGTAATGCTTTAAAGAAGATATCAACATATGCGGATAGTAAATCGATGCTTAAGGTAACTTAGGAGGTTCTAATAATATTTTTAAGTGGCCAAACTGTTGGATGTTGAGTTGTATTTCTTATGTGTTTTTTGGTATATTCTTCTATGCCCAGAAAACCACTTGAACTAAATACCAGAAAAACTGTTTGCTACGCCTGAAAATAAATTACAGTCCCATCTAAGTGCAGTCTCCAACTTAAATAAACTTTCTCCTGACGGCATAGCCTAAATGACCATTCAGGGCAGAGTTATCTGGGGGCCTGGGGACGCAGCCTTTGCAGAACTCACTGACCCGTCATTACGCGCTATCGCAACCCGCCCGTCCGTGCCAACTCAACTTTCTACCTTGACACAATTCACAGAACGTTAGGCAGGCGACAACGAATGGCGAACAACGGAACATTTAAAATGCACACGCCATGATGAGAACGATGATGAAACAGGGACAACGACAGATACATAGCTTAGAGAGGGAGACAGAGAGCAAGAAAGAGAGAGAGAGAGAGAGAGAGAGACACAAAGCAAGTGAGCGCGAACATCGTTGTTGTTCGTGTCCGTGTCGCATTTTGGCGCAGTTTCTTTGGCCTGCAGGGCAAGACTTGAGAGTGGAGAATGGCAAATGTCTTGTTAGAAGGCGGCCAGCTGCAGCTCCCTATGTGATAGAGTTGCTTAAGCTTTCACTTAATTATAAATTTAATGCAGAGATTTTGTATGGCTGCATTTTTAATTGGCCAGCAGAGACAAAGTGTCGACCGACTGGCACTAATGGCACATACATACATACATACATACATACACAATAGGAGTAAGGGCTGGGAGTACCAATGAAAAGACAATGGAGGAGACGCCGCTGGCGTAGACGCAATCCATTTAAGAGACAATGCATGCAGCAAACTGTGGCTCCACCCACCCTGCCCTGACACCCTTCTGGGCATCAATTTTATGCATTTATGTAAACGGTTAACTATAACCCCACACCCAAGCGCCAACCCCCCAGGCAACCCACTGCCAACACTGTCGACTTACCCGTCCCAGCGTATTGTTGTCATGTATCGCCTGCTGCAGTATCTGCAGATTGTAGCTGGTGAACGATAACCAAATCAGGTCACCAGGATATCCGTGAAAGTGGTACGTGCACGTTGTGTTCGGCGGAAGCGTGTGACGCGGACTCACAATGCGTCCCATGCGGCCGCGACGCGAGAATAGCACATCATCTGCCGAGTAAAATATGGAAAAATATAGTGAGAACGGGTGAACGAGAGAGGAATGGGTGATGGGAGATGCGAGATGGGAGAGACAAGAGATTATAATATGCACAGATACTTATATAAACTGTTACGAGTATAGCAAAGTCCCCTCCACCTCGTCCTGCTCGACGTTTTTTAATATGCTCTAAGAACGTTGTATGACAAGCGGCTTACATGTGATTTAGGTTAATTTACAATGTGTGGCTGGCAGAGGGATTTGTGTATCTACATTTTTTTTGCATCAATCTCTACGATACCCTGTAGTTGGGTGAGGGCATAACAAGCTCTCACTCACTCCTGCCCCAGCATTCGTTCCAACATTGTAGAACATTTTGAAATAAATACAAAAGTTAAAGGTTCTGCCAGCTGCCGAATGCCACAATTCCCGCTCTCGGCTTTAATTAAAGTTGCCAAAAAGCAACAAAGAAGCAACGAGCGAAGCCAACAGTCGCAGCTAACTCCTAACAAGAGACCGTGCCACAGTCAGAGTCAGAGGCAGAGCAAGAGCCAGAACGAGACTCCAGGCCGTCAGCCAGGGACAACTTTGGGAACTTTTGATTCAAGTGACAAATTAAAAAAGGCAACGACGACGAAAAACAACGCCACAGTGGAAAAGTGGAAGCGAAAGCAAGAGGCAACTTCTACTCGGTGCTTCAATTGGTAAAAGTCGCTACATTTTGTGGCACTGCGACATGATGGTGAGTGATGCGGCGAGGGGCTGCACGGAGCGGGAGTAGCTGAAGTGCCAGTCGATATAAAGGAAACAATTGTCAACGGTATCGATGATAACACCTGCGTCGATTCTAGCCGCTGCGACAGCTTTTCAAACTTGTCCAATGCACGAAGGAACAGGGACATGGGCAGAGACGGAGACGGAGAACAGAGCGAGGACCCAAAGACTTTTGATGTGTGCCGTGCCGCATCGAGTGGCAGACGGATGGTTTGGACCAAGGGGGAGTGTAAAAGTTGTTGCAGCTGCTGCCACACAAAGCAAAAGTTGTCGGCCCAATGAGCACAGATGGGGGGGGGGGAGCCATTTTGAGTTTCATTCCACCTCCTGAGGGTATCGTTCGTGCTGGTTTTGGAGGTGGAAAGAGGGCCTTGCTAGCTAAGTAATACATTTTTATGAGATTTTTATTGTCACATTTCGCTGGTTGTGGCATATAAAAGCAAAGTGGCCTTTAAGCATGTGAGTGGGAATGCCTGCTCCTCCTTTTTCACGAAGTGAAAGTGGAATGAGAGTTGAAGAGAGAGTGTTGCCTACATTTGAAGTATATTCTACAGAAATAAACCATTTTTACATGAATTTAAATGGCCTCAAATGTCATTGGCTATGCCATTTGAATATTCCAAATGTGCAAATCAACTTTAAGCCACATTTTAAATGCAGCAGCCCCTGCTGCCGGTGCGATGCTCTCTAAAGAGTGGATCAACCCAAAGTGAACGTTCATTAAATTTGCAGTCCAACCTGTCAACAGAAATCTCAATAACATTTTTCAACTGGCTGGGGAATTGCGAATGATTCTGATTCTGATTTTCACATGGCAACAGCAACAGCAACAGCAACAACTAAAATGCTGCCAAATAATCGACAGGCCAACACATAAAAGTCCGTATACCATACATATCTGTGGATGGGTGTGTGTGGAGAGTGTTTTGAGAGCAGTGCAATTCATATGGCACATGAAATGTAATCATTGGCCATTCCAGTCCTGCAATGGCATGTGAATTAGTTAACAGATGGCTGGCAGCGTTCATAACTAGAGATGACAGCGTGAATATGCACAGGGGGATTTTTTGATTAATGTTAACTACAATTTCTTCTCTAGGAGAGTTTCCCCTTATCCTTGAAAAAGTTTTCTCCACATTAAACGTTAGTTTGCTGCCCCGAACTTTTTCTTTATTTCCTTTCACGCAACAGTCACGTCACGCTGCCATCTTTGGGCGTCTGTGCCTCTGCTGTACCAGCTGCACGACTGCTCGACTGTAATAAATTTCGTTTCGACACATTCGCCGCCAACTGCGTGGGGCATACAACAATAAGTGTACACACTGGTACTCGCACTCCCATATACGGAAATAATTCAAGGCAAATTCAATTCGGTGCTCGGAATGACTCTCGGTTATGTGTATGGGCTTGTGTGGTGGGTGTGTAATAGTAGCAATAATAATAATATGCTTATCAGCTGGCCATAAAGTGTGACTATCGAGTGGCAACACCACACGGACAGCGGACCATGGTCTAAGGACAGGTGTGAGAGAGAGAGAGAAATTCTGTCGCTGGTCCAGGTATACGGGGTAAAACCACAAGCGCTGGCAATAAAATTGTTATTTTTGCGATTTATTATTAGAGTGCATTTGGGCCGCCAGCGATTGCGATGGCGATGGCAATGACGGTGGCGGGAGCGGTGGCTTTTGTGTTTTTTTTTGTCGGGATGGGCTGGTGCCGTACCGATTTGAGCCTTGTCGCAGCACGCCAGAAACCGCAAAATGTAGTCGCAACACATTTGGGGCATTAAATTATGGGGTGTTACTTTTATTGATTGCCTCCGCGAGAGGGAAGAGAATGGGATCTGGGGACTGTCGCTGTAGCTGATTGAGTAGCATTTCCATGGCCATTCCCATGTATTTTGCCCACCCCTTAGGCATTGATTGTTTATTGGATTCCGTTTCTGTTTTTCCCTTTTGGGGGAAACCCCGTGCAAATTAAATAGGACTCGCCCCGCAGGCTGTTTCGTGGATACACACGTGTACATCTGTTATATCTGCATTCCTATGGCCTGTTCTGTTCCCTGCTTCAGCTGTTTATTTTTGCTTTATGCTGCATTACGTTCAACACATTCAAACAATTAGCCAGCACCCGAATGGGCTGCTCCATCTGCTCCATTTCCATGTGTTCTATTTGAAATGCTATACAGCCACACACTTAATGGATTGTCACGCATATTTGATGGATCTGAATCGGATTTTTGTTGTTGAACTACCCATAATACGCTAGAAGACCCAATGGTCGTTCAACATTCAATTGAAAAATACGAGTCTCGCGTTTCGCATTTATAATTTTTTGCAACTGTTTTTTATTTATTTTAAAGGAATATTTTTTAATGTCCAATAGATTTTTTTTTGGCGGATCTATTTATGCGATTTTATTGATACTATAAATGATAGGGTTAGGTTTATTTGTAATGATTTATTCTTCTGCGATTTCAATGAAAACTCTACTAATACTTTCCTATCTGCCTGCTGAAACCCACGTGTCCCCCCAACGGTTGCTTTTACAACCAAATTATATCCCTTAATTGATGTGCTCATATGTTTGAAAATGCACTCTGAAATTTGACCAAAACCGAACAGAAATAACAGTCAAACCAGAAAACCAGAAGCAAATTAAACGTAATAAATATTAAATGAGAAGCAAACAAAAATGGCACACACGCACAACATAACGTACATACAGACAAACATATATTTGTGCGCACATCTGATCAAGCAAGTTAATTATATTTTTGTGCAGAAAACCAAAAATTACAAAACATTCCGGGGATGGTGGGCAAGCGGAGCCGGCTAATAAATGTATGCAGAGGCATGCCCCCCAATGTTTGCTCCAATAATTAATTTCCATAGAAAATGAAGTTGCCAGAGCTTTCAGCCAATTAATTGTTTGGAGCTGTAATAAGGGAAAATCAATGAAAGTATTCCGTGGAAGCGATTGGGTTTCGTTTCCCTTTAATGCTTTAAGCCTGTCAAAATCAGGAAAACTGACAGCTAAATTTGAGGGAAAATATTTTTGAATTTTTTCAATATTTGTCTAAAACATCAAATCCAGCAGAAACAAATACAGAACAAATTGTACAAAACTGATGGCAGATGACAGGCGAGCAAGCGAGTAGTCATTTTGCTCTCCATTGACAAATTCACATTTAAATATTGATATTATATAAAAGCACACACACACAGGGACTCATGAACAAGCAGCATACACACACACACGCACGAATACATGTGCAAATAAAATGTTGCCGTTATGTGCAAATATGCTAATTTGTTGTTTGCACAATGATCCCAATGCGGGAACGAAACGGAAGGGAACGAAAGGGGACGGAACCCTTTCCGAACTCGTATCCCTCCCATCTGTTGTTGTTTTCTATTGCTTCCCCCGTTCCATGTGGCCATCCGCTGATTGCAAACAAAATTGCAACTCAATAAGCAAACTAAACAGCAAATATGCAGCAGCAGCTCCCACAAAATACCCCACAATGCCACCACCCCATAACAGTTTTCATCCGGTGCAGCCCAACCCAGCCACCACCCACGAACGCACGAGGGAAATTCTGACAAATCAACCCGATATTAACCTCATTTCAGTGTGTGCCTTTCGGTTTATGGTTTAAGTGCAACTCCAAACAAGATTACAGTGGGAGAGTGAGACTCTGCTGAAAATCCAATTCCCTTCAATTTCGATAGGAAAAACAAGTAGAGGCAATCCGCTTTGTTGCATATCAATTTTTCATTAAATTTTTAGTGGTTTCGTTGATAGTTTGTAACTATAATTTGTGAGTTATCACTAGAAACTTTGGCAAACGTTTAACCTTTCGTTGCCGTTTTTGAGAACACCTCTAATATTATAAATTATAATTCTTCCTTCAGCCCCCTCTCTCCCCTGCACTACTTGCACATTAACAATGAAATCCTTTTGCCACCCTTTTCATCCATTTCAACTCGCCACGCTTCATTGTTTCCTTTCCCTTTCTTTGTTTTCCTCTGTTGACTTTATGAAATTAAAAAGGAAAATTCCCACAAACTGGGCAGAGGCAGAGAGAATTGCAAATGAAAAAGAAAACAACGAAAATAAAAAGATTCTGCTTAAAGTTTGGCCGCAAAACTTTAGAAAACTTTAGGTGTAACAACAGCCAAGAGCGTCTTGGCATTGAGGTAGACAGCCGAGCGTAGGAGGAAAAAGAAAAGTCTTGAGAGAACTTTCAATGCTTGCAACCTTTTGGGACCCCACCATTCGATAGCTCAGCACTTGGCCCACAGCAAGGACTGCTGGAGTCAGCCACAATAATCCGTAAATCAATGAAAAGCAAAATGCCAAAACAACTTCAAACGGATTGGCAAATTGCTGAAATGTATCTGCCAGCGAAAGGTAGTTTGAGTACCCTAAAGGGGGTTAAAGTTTACTGCAGAAGAATATAAAACTACGACGAGTTTGCCATATAAAGTTCTGAAGAAGATTCTTAATGAAAAAGGGAGAAATATAGCTTAAAAACTCGCATCTAAAAGCCACTTTCCTCCTGTAAAATCTCACCCTTTTACCCTCACATTTCCCGTTACACATAGTAAATGCTTTCAATGTCGCTCTGCATATCCTAGATATATTATTTGGGATATTGGGATGATGGGATATTGGGGTGACAAACACCGGAGTTGCCATGGGAATGGCCCGATGACAATTTTTCCGCCCTTGTGGATGATTATTGCATCTGAAATGTTTGGCTGGAGTTGATTAGAGCTAATTAGAGAAGCTGCGCTGCTGAAAATGCTAAAATGGAATATTGATTGGGCCAGGGCAGATACGGTTGACTGACGGAAAAATCCGATTCGGAAATAATTGGATAAACGAATGGCAACTATGACAATCAACCCAGCTATTGGGGGGACGAGGGAGACATTTCTGAAATGTCATGAACATTGGGTTAATGCCTCACAGCACTCACAGGTTAACATTTCTGATTTGCAGATACTTTTGCATACAGTTAACAAGACCTGTCAGCGGAGGCAGTGAAAGCAAACAGAATTTAATTAAAAGCGACACACAGCCCAAGCAAAGGGGGGATGTGCCACCTATTTTCCGATCAACTCTGGACTGAGTCGAGGAGTCGGTGAAATGTAATTAAATGTAATGGCAAAAGTTATGGCCAAATCAAACCGAATTAAATATGCAACAGATTTTGTTACGCAACCTCCCAAGTGAGTGGAATTCAATGTGAAAGGAAAGCATCCTGCATATGGCTCTGCGTCTGTAGTTTATTAATCATACGTCACGCTGTCCCAGCGCATTATTCGCATTGAATAATTCTACGAAAACCACACACAAACGCACGCTGCTCTCTTGATTATGTTTAACTTTGAAGTGACCTTTGCTGCTCATAATAAATTGTCGCTGCTGCTCGCTGCTCTGAATTGCTCTCCTAACATTTTCAAATATTTAAATACAAATGCATATTGAATTTCTACGCTTTCCCCCGGTTTTTGCATGCTTAATTATGTTGTTGTGAGTGTGTGTGTGTGTGTGTGTGTGTGTGTGTGTGTTTGGCAGAGCAACAGAGGGTACTGTGGATGGAAGGGCAAAACCGCAGAGAGCGAACAAATGAAAGCAAAATGAAACGATAAATATTTGGTTTTCGTTAAAACTTTAATTAAAATCATGTTGCACCCCCGCAATAATTTATTTGTATCGCGTTGCTGCTGCTGCTGTCACTTTTCCCTCTTTTTTCAGGGGTGGATGGGCAGTCAGGTTCGAACTGGTGCACGGTGCTGGGGTGCTGGGTGTGTCGATAACAAAACAATTATACCGCTTTGTTTGCTTGAATTGTCGGTCACAGCCGCAACTGTTCTGCTCGTACTGGCACGCCCCTTAGCTCCCCGTTCGTATGAAATGCGAAATGCTTCATACGCGCGCCACGTTCTCCTAATTGAACTAGCCGCAAAATGTTGCACCACCATCCCAACCCAATAGCAAAAGTATTTGGCACATTTTCCATTTTGACCATACATTTTGCTCGCCAAGTATTTGCACTGCTATTTTAAGCTGATTTATTGGCTCGCCGAGACTGGAACTAATTCGTTGTTGAGGTTCTCTTACATCAGGGAACATTTTAGAGCAATTTCCATGCATTTAATAAAAGCTTGAAAACCCATTTCGTTAATTTTATTGCTGAAAACGCTTTAAAGCGGAATAGAATAAATTAATTAAATTCAGAACTTCCTTCTTTAAGACTTCCCCTTCAGGCAGCTTCTTACAGCCCCGTTTTGCTTGGCGCAAACAGATTAAAACTATGATAGATACAGCAACAGACTGCCCCAAGCCCGATGCCCATTCCAGCCACCACCTAATGATTGCAGACACATCTGCTCGATTTCCCAGCCAACGCATTAGGCCAAAAACCAAAGTGAGAAAGCCAAGGGGGAGCGGATAGGAAACGGGGTGGGAAGTGGGTGGAGAAGGAAAAGCATTTCACAAAAGTTAAACGGTCAAAAATTAAGCACAAGCAAAAACAACAACAGCGCGGCGATACATAAGCCAAGTTAATGAGCACAAATACAACACGGAAGCTGCAGCAGCAGCAAGGAAAAACGTTAAGGCATAGAAAAGCTGTTATGTAAAGAAGGCTAAAACGAAGAGGAAGGGGAAAAATAAACTGGAAAAGAGTTGATTTGGCACTTCCACTTCCAACCCCTCACATCCCTTCAGGCGGGCCAAAATTGCCTGCTCGACCAAAAACCTAATTTCAAATGGGATTTTTACTTCGGTTAAGATAGAATAAAACACCCGAAACCTAGAGGAGCAGTAATAAATAGCCGACGGTTTTGGTTTTGGCCAGCAAATATAAAATCTACTCAAAAGTTATTAAGTGCAAATTAATGAACATTAGCGGCTGCCATGGCGCTGCCTACTTTGGGCCGTCTCTCCTGCGGCTGCTGCACCAAATTGATGCAAGGCGTTGGGCGCTAGGGCGGCAGGATGGCAGGACAGACTGAAAATTCATTTAATAATTTTTCAATTAAATGCAGACAGCTGACCAGCATAGGGAGAGAGAGAGAGCAGGAGAGATTCTGGGCACTAATGGGTGGGGAGCCAAGCCAAGAGGAAAGCTTAGGCAGGACACGCAAGAGTCGAAGGGGAAGAACAAGAAGAAAAGGTCCAGGCAGTCGCTGAGCTACAGGAGTGGGACATACTAGTTAATGAGAGTATGAGCATTTGGAGGTTGTTCCAAGAGTTAATTCCCACTCAATCATGGACTGAACATTTAAGTTAACTTAAGCGTCATTTATGGTAGTTATTATAGCATAAAGAATAAGGTAAAAGTCTGGGAAAAACTATACGCTTAAACGAAATTTAGTTTCGTCATTAGAAATGACTTCAGTATACAACTCATCACAATCAAAATAAGACTAAGAGTTGTGTTCCCTTAAAACACAATCATTAGTAAGCACTTAATCGCTTCAAACTCATTCCCTGTCATAATCTGAACAGAATCCACTATCCATTAAGTGATTTTTTGCCATTACTCCTAAAGGAAACCTTTTTCGTGTTTCCTTTGTTCCCATTTCATAGATTATGTGCTGCAGAGGCAATTACTCATACTTTCATTTTGGCCTCGCATCAAGTCATGCCTAAAATGGCCAGTTGGCTGTCTGTCTGAAGTCTTGACTTTCCTTTCCTTTCGTTTCGTTTTGGGGTATATATCGTCTGGCCTTGAATTCAATTAAAATCTAATTTAGTTTGGCCGGATTAGAGCCAAAGGCTAATAGACCCGTCGCGCCACCGCGACCTCCCGTGCAACGAACTACTCGTGTTGCAGAGGATAATCCGCACACCGAAATTGGCCCCACGACTTTTGATTGTACCGGTCTCCGGTTGCCGTATGGCAATTAAGCCCGGAGAACTCTCCGTTCCGTGTACTCTGTTCACTCAAGCGGCGTTAATCAGTAAGCAATATAAATAATAATTTGAAAGAAAAAACAGGAAAAAAAAAGCCAAGAGAAAATCCAAGCAGAATGAACAACTCTCGCATTTAATGAACAGCCAACGCAGCAGACAATAAAGGAGATAAGAAGGGAACAGGTACAACAGGGGCAAAATTGGTGGAAACCCAAAAGGAAACAGAGAAAAATGCGAATTGCAAAATGCTGACCTAGTTCAAAGTAGCCGTAGCCGTAGCCATTCTGCGTTGGTCACCTGAGCCTGAGCCAGAGCCGGAGCCCCGCCATTAATTGACATTAATTATGGTTATTCATATTCATTTCTGGGATTGCCCGGGAACCGTGTGTGTGTGTGGCTGTTTGTGTTCTCTTACCTGGATTCGAGGCATTTATGTGGAACTCGCAGAGGTTCTTGGTGCCCTGGGCAAAGTCGAAGGAGTCCGAATCGGTGAAGAGTATGTCCACATCCAATTCGAAGCCCCGATTCGGTATGCCCTGCTGCAGCGGTGCCGAGAACGGGCTCGAGTGGAAGGCCACCAGCATTTCTGCTCCACTGAAAGTCACAGAACAAAAACAGAAAAGAGAATCAATTGAAATGTAAATGATTTGCATTTTTATATTAAATTGCAGTATTATATTATATGCAGTGACTCACAGTCACAGGAGAAGTGAATATCTAGGGGAATTAATGCAATAGTTTATCGTAATGTAATGCTGGGAAATCTGAGAATTGATATTTTCATAGTTGAAATTAATTAAATATCTCATTACGTGGCTGCTGAAAATCTTAGAAGTTTGCTCCCCATCGTCCTATCTGACAGCTGCTTCTACATGTATCGAGTGTTTTGGGTCATAACCAGGCCACTGGCACTCCAATTAGAGGCGTGAAAAAAGTCCTCCTCACATACATTTAATTTGCGCAATTCGGCAAACAAGAAAGTCATAAAGTTGTGTTGGCCACGAAAGAAGCAACAAACTAACAACCGAACCAAACAACCAAACAACACAAACAACAACCAACGTTTGTGGGCGTCTTGCCAAATCCCTGACTGCCTGCCACGCCCAAAAGTATGACGCAGCACTCTGCTTTGTTTCGGGCTATTTAAAGTGTCCGCCCGTCCGTCCGCTTCTCTGTCCGCTCTTCAGTCCACTCCCTTGTCGCCGCCGCCGTCTGGTTGTTTGCATTTTTGCTGCCAAATTAACTTTTTTCGCCATTGTCTTGCCTACTGCCTGGCAAAAAGGGGGAGGCACCCTACAAACTTTTAGGCAAATTTTTTGGCACAACAAAGTAACAGTCGAGTTGGCCCAAAAATGTAGCCGTTTGTCTTTTCTACTTATTTTTTTGTTTTGTATCCAACAATTATGAATTGCCGGTCGCCTGTGGTGGGTGTGTTGCAGCAAATCGCTTTTAGTCACCTCTACGCTATAAAACGGGTTGCGTTCCGTCTGTCTGTCTGTAGTTGTAGACGGCGCGACGCCAGATTTTATGCCTTCCAAGGCAATGACATCGAGAGGATTATAAAAGTTTCCAACTGAGAAGTGGAGCTAAATTTAAGAGTAATCTTCAATAAATTCTTAAGCTATTCGGCTGCTTAACATGCCTCGCTCGTAGCCATATAAATTATGCTCAAAGTTTTCAATTTAAACATCAAATTGAATTTTTATTGCTCAAGCAAGAGGTGCACGGTGCGTATGCGTAATATGGCATGACATAAAATAAAACAGAAACTGAGACACACGACCTGTCCGGGGGCGGGGCGGGTGCACGCATTCGACTAAGCCAAGACCTGAAACACTTAAAAGGAAACTCCCACGCAGACGATGTCAAGAGCCATCAAACATGGCCAACAAAATGGCTTTTTAATATGTGTAAGTGTGGCCAAGCGGGAGTGGGCGAGGGAGTGAGTGTGGGAGCCAAAGCTGCTTATTATTTAAGGAAAAACGTGCTTCGTGCAGATGGAGTGGAGTCGGGCAGCATACAACAGCTGCAACAACGTTTTTGTCAGTGCCAAGTGCAATAAACTGCAAATGAAAAGTGAATTAATTTTTAATAAAGCGACACAAATGCTTGTCCTGGGTCCCTGCCAGTGCCTGCCATTCATCTGGTTGCTTGGGGCTTGTCGTGTCCTGTTTTTGGGGTATGTCCTGCTGTCCCTGCACCTGTCTGTAGGTATCTGTGTGTGTGTGGGTTTGCCAGCTGGTGCGTCTGTGTGTGGGCTTTTGCGTGGCATTTGGTTACTTTATGGCCTGCGGCACACTTGTGGGTGTCGTAAAATCAACACGAACGCATAGTCATGGCATGCCCATCGCCTCCTCTATAAGCCCGTACTCCATTTACCTCCTCTCATGTGCCTTTGTCAGTTATCAATACACGTAAACCCCCTCCTCCTCTAGAGTACGTTCCCATGAAGCGGTAGAGTGTCCAGACCACAAATGGCAGCAGCACAGCACCCCGTCCACCTTCCCCCTTTCAAAATTCTCTCCAGCATTGCGGTCAACGCAGGGTCAGGGTATTCGCAGGCAGGAGGTCGGCCCTCTGGTGTTTGGAGAGCCTTAGAGTACACGGGAATTTCAAGTGATTAAAGGACACAGGCCTGAGTAAATTATACGCCATTTTGGATGCGTTTCCGCGATTTCTAGCGAATCCAAAATACCAAAAGGGAGCTCATTAGGCAGTTGATTGAACCAGCTCGAAATGTAGTTGATGCTAGTCTCGCCATGACCCAAATTGGGTTGTAGGGTCTTAGGTTTAACGAAAGAGTAAGGGTCTGGTGTATTTTCGACTACTGAACTTTGTGGATTCATTATTTATGCAGACAAGCAATGATTTTCGCCACTTTCAGTTACCGAATGCCGCTGAAACTTACAAAATCCTGCTGCAGGATAAGCCATCAACTACCTTAAATTATTATTAACCATGGGCAAACATCCTCGACACGGAACCTAATCCGCAAAGTGCATACTCAAAATAAACACAGAAAAAACTCACAGGCAGGCAGCAGAGGGAGGGAGGCAGCAAATTTGTGCCATAAAAAATTAATATGCAATTTAAAAAGTTATCGCTTTGAGTTTTTCTTGTACTGCTAACAAAAATTAACATTTACTTAGAGGGAAAGCAACAGCTGCTGCAACTTCTCAACCAAGACTGCTTGCCACAAAGAAAAAAAAAAAAAAAAAACAGAAAAGGAAGCGGAGGAAACGCAGAAGCGCTCCAATGAAATACCAACGTCTCGTGGCACCTTTAGCTTGTTGCAATTTTAAGTTGCTCTGCGAAATTAATAATTTTCATGTGGCTTTTTCTCACCACCCACCCCCACCCCTCCCACCCTCTCTCTCTGTCTCTGTCTGCGTGTCGTTCTGTACAAGTGTCTCCTTGCCTGCTCTCTGTATGCATATGCGATTTTCGTACAAAGTCCGGAGTGAGTCCCGTGTCTGAGGTGAGAAGTAAAGGTGGAAATGTTTGAGGAGCCGCAAGCGAGTCTGTCCCCCCTCTCTCTCTCTCTCTTAGCGAGTGTGTGTGCATTTATAATTCGTATGCTCATGTCGCGTGTGACCTGATACGGGCGTGGCGGCAGGGGCTAAAGGTGCTGTGCTGGAAAGATGTTGCACGAGCTACGAGGCTGGCTTCTTAATGCCGTTCTTCTTGGTAGCCACCAGCCACCCACTTTTCCATCAGGCTCTTGGAGCGGAGCATCTTTCGTCTTTCGACTTTTTCGTTTTTCTCCTCCTTGTGCATATTACGCTCTATGCATATTTGATGCGCTCTACCTTGCCACTGCCACTGCCACTGCCACCACTCCTGGCACTTGCCGTGCCACCAGCCGTGTAGCCAACGTGTGCATGATTATGGGATTTTCCCAAGATACGGCAAGGATGTCAATAAATGCGAGAGTGCAACTCATTAAGAGATTAAGGGCCACAAGGCAAAGCGATCATCGTCAGACCCATAACCATTATGATCCTTCAAGATGGATCCCCCGCAGGAAGCACATTCCACATTTTTACAGCTGCCCAAGCAGACAGCGACCCGAAAAAAAGGAAATCAAAGTTTATGTACATGTCTCAAGAGGCACTGGAAAAGAGCAAACTTTTGGCCCTGGCCGAAAAGACACCAAAAACAAAATTCTCAAGTGCTAGATAAATGGCCAAAGGGGCAGGGAGGTGGAGAGTGTCGTTCTTCGGCGGTTGGACGGTAGCGACGAAGGCGAAGGCCACTTGAATGTCATGTAAAGGCGTGGGCGTGGCTGAGAGCTGCATTCGAGCCTTCTGTGGGATGTCCTGTAAGTGTTTTTAAGTGCCTTCGAGAGCCAGACCAGCAGGAATTTAATGGCAATCGAAATGAAAATGAACTATATAGTTCCGCTTCCGGTTGACATAAATAATACATATGGAATGGTACTTTAATGGCTGACAATCTTTATGATAGTAAATAACATTGAAATAGAGCAGAAAATATAAGAAAGTTTAATGACTTCTCATGGGAACACAACGATTAAACACAACAAATAAATAAAATGCCAAGTGGGAGGTACTTAAACACAATAAAATTCTGTACAATAAAGTTTATCCCAATTATAAATAGTATAAAACAATTTAAGCTAAATAAATGTAAAATTAACATAAAATAATAAATGAAGTGCATTGCAGCCAAAACCTTTTAATGTGATTAAATATTTAACTTATTTGTATCTACATGTTAATTTTCATGTGTTTATTTAAGGAAGTCTTTTTCAACTATGTTAAACTTATAAATACTAATGTCATGAAGTGCTTCCCATAACTCTGCTGTACATACGAATTGCTGATTTGACTTTGGCAATTCAGCAATCACCTCAGTGAACTAGCACACTAACGAGAGTGAGAATTACTACTACGCATGCAGTTGGAGCAACTAAAACTACACCGATTAGTTGCGTTTTAATTACTTAAAGCCACCGCCACACCAAGCCACCAAGCAGTGCCAATGTGTGGGAGATTGTGGGGAAAACTTGCAAATTGCTTGTGAGATTCGTTCGTCTTTAAGAATTTATGGTTGGAGGTGTATGTACAAAGCGTAAATGCTTGGCAAAACTTGGCAACTAATGAGCAAAATTTTGCCATTGCATAAATCACATGCATCAAAATGTTTTCAATAGAGAATGGCAGCAGCAGCACAGAACCAAAAGTTTCAGCACAAACGGCAACATAAATCTATTTATATTAATGTGTGTGTTAGTATATGTACGTGTGTGTATGTGTGTCTTGAATCCTGGTATCTCGTATCTGTTTTTCACATTTCGTCTGTCTGTCTGTCTGTCGGTCGGTCGGTCTATCTGTTTGTCCGATGGTTTGTCTGTCTGTCTGCCTGGCAATGTCTGCAGAGCAACCCAATTTCCGGTTTTTGCTTAAGCATTGCAATGCATTGCGCACAATTGTAAGGCCCAAACACACACACACACACACACACACACAGAGAGACTCAAAAACATCTACACACATAGATTAAAGCTATGTCTGTGCGGCTGTGTGTGTCCTTTGTATCTATGTGTAACTGAATTGGAACACATGCGCCCCAGGCCAAAACTGCAGTGCAGTGCACTACTCGGCTGCGGTCTTCACACTGGGGCTGATTCACTCACTTCCAGCAGTGATGCGGAAAAAAGGCTCTCAATCACTGTGATTGAGAAATCACTCTCTGGCTCTGGCTCTGGGGCTGGGGGTTGGATAAATATACTCATAGATCAGTGCCAGTGACTGTGATTGGTCTTCAAAGCCTCCATTTTGCTAGGCTGAAACCCTCCATTAAAATGCTCTGTGCATCTTGATTTATGTACACGGATTTTCGTAGTTTATTTGTCTGAAGTTCTAATGTTTTTTTATGTACTTAGAGTAACATTCACACGCGAATCACGGTGCCCACCAAGTAGCTGTTTTTCTCATCACTGTGGGACATAAATACACATAGACAGAATGGCACACACACTCGCCAACACACACTCACACATGCTCATTAAAAATGTCTGTCTATCCTTTCTTGTAAATGTATTATGAGCTTTGCTGTGCTCATATTTAACTTTTTCATAAAAGGAAGAAATGGCGTTAAATAAATGTCCTCTGTCTGTCTCTTTCTCATCCTCTCACTCCTTCTCTTCGTTTCTCTTCTCTCTTTTTGTAGTGCTTCGGCTGGCACAAAAGTAAGCCATGCAATGGGTGGAAAAATACGCTTTCAAAAGGCTTTCTTTGGACTTACCGTGACACGACGCGTGGCAGCCAGTCGCCGCCGCAGTATTTGGCCAACACGGGATCGTTGGTGGAGCTGCCATCATAGAAGATGAGATGATCACGTTCTCCCGTACAGTCTGACCAGGCGCGTATGGAGCGGGAGGTCTTGTTGAAGCTGGCAATCGACCTGTGAATGAGTGGAAAGGTTAACCAAAGGAAACAAAAACATAACAATTGCCAAATGGGTAAGCAATCAATTCGCAAAATTCAATGAATACATTTCCGTTTGGCCAAATCCAAAAGGGATACAATGTCCAGCTGCTGGACATTGCTTTTATGGCCTGTCAGAGCTTATATCTTTTGGGAATGTGTGTGTGTGGGCAGAAAGCTAGCTACATGTGTTGTGTATGTATGCAGCCCTCTTTTCATAAATGGGAATCTGAAATAAATGTAAGCTAATATCAAAAATACATTCACCTAATCCCATCAATCCAATTACAAAACTTAACATGTTTCCCTTTAATACGTTTTTGCATACAAATTACATTGACTGTTCAGTCAGTCAGTCAGTTAGTCATTCCGAGATCCCTCTCTATATGTGCATACGGAATGTTAAATACACTCTGTGTGTGTGTGTGTGTATATTTTGCTGCATTTAATTGGAATATACAAAACTTTTCGCACAGAATGCTGAACATTCTCTCGGACACGAAACAGTTTCATTTTGCAGTTGTCGTGCAGTTGGCAAACTGCAAACTCGAACTTCGCTTAGCAATTTGCCAAATTGAAATTTGTCATACAAATGCGTATGCAGATGCAGATGCATCCCGCACACACCCACACAAACACACAGGGGGTGTGTGCAACAGAATGGTAATGCTTATTTAATGCTCTCCAATGCAGGTTGCATAGCATTTTCGGTAGTCATGCCACCACCCTTATACTCGTATCCTTATACTTACCGCTTCACTAGGGCCTTGTGCTGGTTCTCCTGGCTAACGGCAATCATGGCATGCTTGCTGGTGGGAACTTCTTTCTGTCGTATGGTCCAGTAGCAGGTAACATTCCTCGGATACATACCAGGATAATTTGGACTTTGCAGGCGACACTTGTTACGATAGCATTCATCGAATTGCCTCGTACAATAGGTGCCAGGTGTGACACGGCCCAGTTCAAGCGGCTTATCGGGCAGACCGTATCTGAAAGAGAGTCAGAGGGGCCAAAGGGTCAGTAAGTGCTGGCCGAATAGAATTTTCATTTAGTTACGGTTTCTGCTCGCCGTACGTGGCAGTACATTTTGAATGGTATTTAAGTCTGTGTCCAAGCAGGAGCACAGCAGCAACACAAAGAGCTGTGGAAATTTGCATAAAATGTGCTACCGGCAGGCGGCAATGGCACACAGAGACCTGCCCTGCCCCACTCATTGTTTAGTTTGCTAATGGTGTGCACAGGATTCGAATTCTGGACAACGGACAACGGACAACGGACACTGTGATACGGACACTGGCATTGAAAATGAGTCCTGGCCAGCCTTGCAGTTCGGCGATTCTATTCGGTATTTCCCTCTCTTGCCCATGTAAATTGTGTGAAACTTATTCAAGCGCAAAAATACATTTCAATTTCTATTTACCTCTCATTTGCTCGCTTTCTTGCCGAACAAAAAGCGCGACTCATTCAAAGGGATGTGGCATAGAGAGAGAGAGAGAGAGAGAGAGAGAGTTTGACACATGCCTAGGCACAGGTCGAACTGTGCACAAATGGATTGCACTACAACAAGTGCGACAGTATACTTAGTATGTATGTGGGAATGAAAATCTATCGAACCGAGTCAGTACAAAGCTCATGTTTTATGCAGGCACAGGAATCGGGACACACCGAGCATCACCTTACGCACCATTCCCCGGGGGCGACGACCAAGTGGCATTGTTCTCTCAGGTCGAAGGATTTCTAAGCAGTTCTAAGCAGCACCAGCAGCAGCAGCAAGTACTAGAAATAGAAATAACAGCAACTGGGAGATGAAGACCCACAGCGAGTGAGAAAAGCCAAAGGCACTCTGGTGCCATTGCAATTGCGAGGTGGGACCGAGGAGTGCTCCCACCTGGTAACATTATCTATTGAAAAGTGTTCAAGTATCCCGCACCGAAAATGCGCTAAACTGAATCCTCTGGCAGTTTGTCAGTTCATCGCGGGACCGGGACTGGGACTGGGACTGGGAATTTGGCGGCGAAGGGGGATGGTACTTACCTTACAACTGCATCCGACTGGCTGATAAATTTATATCTTATGCTGAACTCAAAGGGCTTCTCATCCCGTATATTGCGTGGCGGATGAAATACCTGAATAGATAGAGAGGTGTATACAAAAATGACAAAATAAGTAACTGAATGCGACTGAAATATCACCGAAAAGTGCAATCAGAGTGAAAATGTGCAAAGATCTTTGTCATTGAAGTGCTTGAAATTTCTCTGCTGCTTAATGCGTAAAAAATTGCCTCCATATTGCTCTCCATATGCATTTTTCCTTTAATTATGCAATCTGCCATTCTTGCAGTTCCACTTTTCCACATTTCCATGTCAACGGCTCATCAACACGTTGCAGAAAGTGTCCGGAGGCAGCCCAGCTCTCAGCATTTCTCTCTTTCTCTCTGTGTCTGTTGCGAGGAATCCATTTTTATTAATTTTCATAATTTATGCGTGGCAACTCGACGGCAACAACTGAACCAAGAATCTCGTCCTGATATATGCCCGTGGACATGTACATTTGCCCACTTTTATGGCAGTGCGTTTATTTAAAAATTAATCAAAAAGTGGCAATGGCCGCGCTGCCGTGCCTTGTCCTCCTCAAGTCGATTTCAAATTGGATAAAGTGGAAGAATTGCAGGAAAGACTGGGCTAAAGGAATGCAAGATGAAGGAGTTTTGGCAGAAAGAATCTGGAATCTTTTTACACTTTTCTCGGGCTATTTTTTCAACAAAGAAAGTTTGATACCTCCGACAATCATTGCTGAAGAATCCTTACTTACCTTTACAGAGGCAGTGACCGTTGATGTTTCGCTGAAATACAATTGTGGTCCTGTGGCCTTGCCGCACCACGAGCCCCCGGTGAACGGGCGTCCCAATTCGCTGAGCTGCCGAGTAAATAAATAAAAATTTAATTAATTAAAAATCAAGTTTGTTTCACCGCGCGGTGCCTGGTGACACACACACACACACACACACACAGCAACGATGCAAACAGGAAGGTTAAAAGCAATTTGCAGAGCTCCGCAAAATGCTAGTGACGCAACATTTAAAGCCCACCATCAGTCGCCTCTCAGGGCCGGGGTAACATTACGCGAAAATTGGGTTAAGTTATAGTTGGTTGTTGCCCTGCGCCTGTGCCCTTATTGATTTTATTGGCTGAGTGAAAAGCGCATACAAAATTAATAAACACACAGAACAGAGTAGCAGCGTAACAGCAGGGATGGGATGGGTTCGGACCGACCATCTGGCATGGCCTAATGGATTACGAGTATATGGCTGGAGAGTGTGTTGTGTAATTTTTTGCGCTCTCAATGTTTGATTGTTTTCCTTTCCTAGCATGCAGTTGGCACCCGAATGGGTATAAAGAACTGTCTGCCATATATTTCTGCCGCCATTTTATGTATGCGAAAAACCCGTTGGCAATTGTCGAAGGTGTGCGACCAGCAGCCCAGCAGCTGCAATAACACGGGACAGGCGGCCCCAACTGCAAGTCCTGGCTCAAAACCAAACCCATAAATGTATTTACATGGCGACCAAAAAAAAAAAGGCGCCCAAAGCACCGTTTGCTGGTAGAGTGGATAAATTATTAATTCTCGTACTGAAGCGCTGCACAAAAAGAGAGCAGCAGCAGAGCAGCTGGAGGTTGGCAGGGCATCAAAAGTGATGGAGTATGGCAGTGCCCTGGAATCTGACAGTTCTCTCAATCATTCTTTCAGATGCATTCAATCGGTGTGTGATTCAATTGGTAAAGAGATTTCTACCTCCTACAGGATTTATTGCAGCTCTCAAAGAGATTTCTTCTTCAATCTTAAAGTCCTTCTTGCAGCATAGGGAAAACATTCCATACTCATTCAATCACCAACGAATCTATGTTCCAGAACAACCTCTACATGGCGCAGCCTACCCTTTAGCGGAAAATCTTTTACCCTTGCTTTTTGGGTCGGCTCAAACGATTCGTTCCGCCCAAGGGGCCACTGACATTTATTGAGCCTCGCATAGGCAGCATTAATATGGCTAATACCAGCATGGAAGCGACCAGTGGACTATTTTTTCTTTGCTTTTCCTCTTTGCTTGTGGCCTAGGTCAGTGGCCAGGCATCCAGCGAGCAGCCAGCAGACAGCCAGCAACCAGAAACTGGCAATGATGGGGCGGCGAGAATGGCAATGGCAGCTCATTTACACTGAGGTTCCAATTGATTAAGTTTTTAGTTAATGGGTTATTTGAACTGAGCCCTGGTACCGACCATGATGTCCTGTGCCGTGCCTATGTCCCTGCACATAGCCCTGGCCCGAGACTCGTGTGCAGGGGACATGTCCTGCGGCCGGGCCCCGGACTCAAACAACAATTTTTGCTGTAATTGCAAAGTCGCCAATCGACGTCTGGCCAATATTTGTAGCTGGTTAGAGTTGCAGTTGCAGCAGCAGAGTGAGATAGGGAGAGCGAGAGAGTCCGGGCCATGACTGTCATATTGAATGACCAGAGCCAGTCGTTCCCTTCGCCCATCCCATGGCCATCCCTTTCTATCCTTCTGTAGGATAAATGCTTACTGGATGATTGCAGGGCTGTGTGGTGCTGCTGTGGCAGGACCACAAGCAGGCTCGGCTGCCTGGCATAATGGTAATTTTCTGATTTCGATTTTGTGTAAATTCATTGCAAACTCTGACCGAGCTCGAGTGTCCGGACTGGGGTACTGCTCCTGGTCATCTTACTCGTTCTCCCTTTCTGCCTCCCTGCCTCACCCAATCCACTGTGTGCATTGGAGCGTTATTAGCATCGACTTCATAACGAATTATTGGACTTTCGTCTTTATGTGTATGTGTGTGTCTTGCACCATTTTTCCCATCTTTCTCTGGATATTTTGCTTCCCATCTTCTCCCTGCCTTTGCTTGCTGTTTTTTTACTCGTTTTGTGTTGGTTTTAAATTGATTGAATTATTATTGTAGCCATGCAGATATTTGTTGGCCTGCTGGTACCCTTGAGGTTAATTCATAAAGCAATTTCCCTTGATTATGGCAAGGCTACTAATGGTACGACTTTTTGGCCAAACATTTGCTCACATGTCATTGTTGTCTGGTCAGGTGGGTTTCCTTACAAAAAGGTAATTAGAAGTTTAGTTTTTTGGCTGTACTGAGAGGTTCTGAGAAGTGAAAGTTACGTTTGTTATATAGATTGGAATGTGGCTTAGGAACGTTTTCAAACATTTTTGAGTTGAGACATTTAATTTTTGTAACATTCATTAATTAAAGATCAATGCGAGCAGCGCGAATAAAGCTTCAGTTTGTGCTTTTAAGCTGCGCTCTGCTATTCAGTTGCAGTTGGGACAAAAAGTTCTTCCATGTATCGAAAGCATTAAGTGCAACCCAATGTTAATTCTGATCCATTTCGGCCACGCCCTGTTCTGCATTGTTCCCACTGAAACACAGACAGTGAGCGATAAAAGTTTTATCAGCATGCGCTGATGTGTCCTGGCATCCGCTGGATCCTTCTCGCTTCATAATCTGCCAACAATGGAACAAAAGCTGCCGCTTGTCACAGCAAGAGGGAAGCCATTCCTCTGCTCATCCTGCCACCCTTCCACATGATAGTATGTGTATTTCCACTTAATTGTGAAACAATTTAAGCGCATAATCTGCTGGTCCGTCTGTCCCACTGGCGGCGATGTCCCCAATTTGATTTATTGGAATTTAAAGCATTTGGCATATTATACAAATAAATTATTAAATCATGGAAGGCATTTAATTTGCAATACAAATGCCTTTCCTCATAAATCTTACTAATAAATAAAAAATAGTTCTAACCTTCAGAGTCACTTTTCCCTGACAGAAATCGTAAATTTTACCACAAAACTTGAACGCAGATACGACCTCAACTTGAGTTATGAGCTTATCCAAGGCAAACTTCTTGTACATACAAATATACGTAGGTAGATATATGTATATATTTTGTATGTATTTGTGTGTATTCCAATAAAAACTATTGACCAACTTGAGCATGTCCAAGCTGCTTCCAATCCATGGGCTGATGTTGTCTTACGTCTGGGATGAGCATGGGTTCTGGATCAGGTCTAAGCGAGTGTTATGATTGTCAAATATTGAGTCATTTGCCCAAGCTGTTCTCGCAAGGACACACAACAGAGGGATAGGGCGATCCTTGGGGGCTGCTCTGTTGTTGATTTAGGCTAATACGTTTATGCATAAACTTTATTATTTATGATTAGCAATATTAGCAAATAAAGAAGAGAAGTGGACAGACAGGCGGACAGCTAGGGAGAGTTTTAAATCGATGTCAAGCTGGGGAGGGGCTTGGGTGGGTCATCTAATGCCCTGCAAAGCGAACACCATACATATTTATTTACTGTGAGCGAACGCCTGGCCCAAAGATTGTTTGCTAAATTATTAAAAATAATTCAGAAAAGGTCAAGATAAGGACAGCGGCGGCTGAACGTCGCCGTATCCTTTTTTGGCCTGCTACAAAATGCATGAGACAGAATGTCCAACTAAATTGAATAAATGATTAAACTGAAACTTCAGGTTTGCTTCGAGGTTGGGCGAGGTTCCCGGAACTGAACTGAGCTGACCTGAACAAATCATACCCAATATGTGTTTATATATAGAGAATATATATTGTGTGTGTGTAGAGGGAAAGGAAGCGGATATAAATTTTCCGTTTCGGTCAAGAATTTATGTGGCCAGGCCATGACACGCATTATTTATACAAGTTCGAGGGCTGATCGGTGGGTAGGGTGGGCGGGTGGTCGGGTGCCACAAAAACCGCGTCAGCAGTTAAAATTGCACATACTGAAAAAACGTTTTGAGGATACCAGAGTAAACCCTGGACGCAACACAAACCTGCGGTTAGTTACGAGTCCATATACAACTCGTTGTAGAACTACACACAGGGACAACGACAACAATGAACAAGGAAGGAGGCAGGAAGGAGACAGGAGGCAGCGGACACAAAAAAATTGAAAATATTTAACTGCATTTTAAAACTGAAACGAAAGACAAAACAAAACAACGAAAAGAATTGAATTTTCGGATGGCAACATGCAACGCGCTCGGAATAATACTAGGGGGAGGGGTGTCCACATGGCATGCCCCAAAAACTGTGACGCTGCTGCAGCTGCAGCTGCAGCCTGTACACATGTCAAGCGCCAAATGAAACCTCAACAGGCCAGCACAGTCCTGGACAGGGCTGAAGAGGCGTAGTTTTTGGGGAAAAAGTACCGCAAAATGTCAGCGCACGCCCCACGCTTGTTAGAATTTATTGTTGCACAAAGAGCCAGCCGATGGACATGCCAGGCTGACACGGAGCCTGCAGCCTACACAGCTAAACTAATAGAGGTTTATGGTTTTCCCAGAGAGTAGCAGGAAAGTGCACTAACTAGTTGGCAGCGGGAAATGAAACCAATGAAAATACCGACATTTAGAAATTGGAGGAGGGTTCCGCAGTCTGATGGAGAAAAAGAGAATCCATAAATAATACAAAGAAACTCTTTAGCGAGGAGTCGAAAAAAAGGACAAAAGCTAAGCTGAAATCGTTACAGAATAAATTGAAGCACAGTTTGGGAGTTAATTATCCATTCTGCGCATGTTTAAATGCTGGCAACACAGACACAACCAGCAGATCAGACATTTGTATCTAGTCACCATTTGGAATTTCAACACTTTGTGCAAACATTTTATTTAAGCTTCAAATGAAAACGAGGGAGCATTAAGCAAGTGAGCGACAAATGCAATAAGTGTATCAAAAGCAATTTATCCAATGCCAGCCAAACAGAGATAAAGATACAGATGCAGATACAGATACGTATACTAAAACAGACTAAAGGGGAGAGAGTGGGTGTTTGGTTCGCTCCAACATATTGCACAAGTCAATTACAGGGATTTAGTGGGCTTTTTGTACATTCTATTTAGTCAGGATTTTAGTGCTGGCATTACGACGATGAGTAGGAGGGTCTGGGATTCTTCCCAACCCCTAAATGTAGCCGCAAAATTTGCGATAAAAATATCTACACACAGAAACAAACTATGCCACGTTGGTGCTCTCATACATGTTAAATAGTTTTCCTTTTTGTCCCAGTGCCGATGGCAGGCAGGGCAGGGCAAATGGCAAATGGATATGAAACCCAGGCAACACGAACAGCACTCAAGCTTCCAGTCCTAGGATCGACATGACACAAACACGGAACGGAGCGCACACACACAGGCGCACAATTCAATTCAATTTGCCGGGCTAATGTGGTATTTGTGAACGGAGGACCAAACAGAAAATTACAGAATTACTCGGACATTGATTGAATCGAACGACGAGACGACGACGACAACGAAAGACCAACGACGAAAGCTGCCAATGATGACAGGACCAGGACCTCATTGCTGCTCCTGCTCCTCCTCCTCGACGCGCGCCCTTCCCCCGCTTGGGCATAAAATTATATCAGAAAAATGGAGTGCAAAACAGTTCTCATGGAACACCATAACTTTGGTTGGTGAAACTATTTTTATGATTACGCAATATACATTTTAATAAATTAAATTCTTCGGGCTCTTACCTGCATGAAGCCCTCGGGGCAGCCGGGCAGCTCGCCCGTGGGACTTAGATTCGTTTCATAGCCATCCACATCCGTATCGACCATGCCCTCGTCGAAGCGTCCCACCGTAAAGCCATCAAAGATGATCTGCGAATATAGGGATAGGCATGGTGAAAAAAATGGTAGGAGCAGATAAATATGTGCATAAAATATTGATTAAGTGGCGACGATGGGATACCCTGAGACTTTTGCGAGTCAGGAAAATGTGTAAATATAGTTGTATAAATATGAAACCATCTATCCTGCATATCCCTGCTAATCCACAACATTCCAGGGTACTAAAACTATATTTTAAATTTGCTTAAAGTTATGCAAATGAAATTCCATTTGCAAAAAAAAAATAAGGGGAAAACGCCTCATTTTGCCTTGCCCGCAACCGCCCACTGTTTGCATATTTGATTGGCTCTAAAAAAAGAAGGAAAATTCCTGGCCACACACACAGTTTTCCGGAGAACGACTCGATGCCACCAGGAGTCAAGTCAAGGTCGGAGCGAGGAAGTTGTGAGGCCGAAAGTCAAGTCAAGTCAAGTGTCTAATCTTATATGCAAAATGTACTATACACGAGTACCTTATGTACTCGTATGTACGAAACACTCGTCAACTTCTCCCCAATAAAATATGCAAAATAAATGTTGGTATTTGTGTGGGGGTGTGAGTGTGTGTGCTGAAAATTGAAAAGAAAACTCCAATAAAGGGCTGCAGCAGCATCAGATTGCATTCCAACACCTCTACGTAACCAACAGGAATGGGAGGAGCAAGTTCACTTCCAATTTCTAATATGAAACAAAGGAAAAGTGACAGGCCGGAATGAAAAATTTTGGGGGAGGGAGTGTGGCATGCCATGGCATTTGTGGCTTCATTAGAAGCTGCCACTGGACACAGTGGCAAATGCGGGGGTATAACTTTTCCATTTCAAGTTGTTTTTTGCTTTCGACCACCCTTGGGTAAATGAAGGAAAGTAATTTATGTGTGCTCTGCTCTGAATGCTTTTTTGTAGAGTTTTTCGCTCATATATTTTATGACCAAACGGTTGCAGCCGTTTGCCAGAATTTTCCTGATTTTTTGACCTGGCAGTGCGGGAAACCTCGTTGAAAGTTTTCATCAGTGGCAAGACTTTTTTAATTGAATGTGAACAAATGTCAACCCTTTTCACTGATTCTATTACCTTGTTTTCAGTTTCCAACACAATAAACCACTCAGGAAATTGATCAATACAAATGGCAAATAAAAAACACTCTAAATGTGTCCACTAAAGATATCCGCATAAATTCCATATCATATTCAAGCTAATTGGTTTAATAATCCGCGAACAACCAACAAATATTCCTCCACTGATCGCAGGTAAAAAATGCTTTCAAATATACAATATAATTTACTGCACACCGAAATTATTTATCAAAAAAAAAACTCCATTGATTTATGCCTGGAGCTATCTGGTTCTATATGCTGGCTGGAGTTTTGTGTGTATATTTTGTATACATATTCATGCCCTGCCATTAAAGAACGTGAAAAACGATTTTCAAATGCAACAAAAAATGTTGGAAGAATGAGGGCTATTTGATTAAAGCAAACAAATTGCAGAGTTTGGGTTAAGTTACGAGTATTTTCATTAAAAATTTTGCCCATGGGTAAATGGCAAAGTTCCAGGCAATTTAAAATTCAACATGGGGTAGGGAAGCCCCTGGATCTGGCTGGGATGGGTCGTCTCTGGGCTGACAATCATCAATCAATATGTACAAACAGACAGGAGCAACAGCAGCCAACGCTGTCCGCCCACACAGCATCCTCGCACTCGTCCTCGCCAATGTCTAACATTATTATTTCAAGCAATTTCCCACACAGACACACCCAGTGTGAGAAGCAGGAAAATGGCATAGCAGAGCCGAGTCGAGTCGAGAGCGGGAGCGAAAAAAAAGAACATGGAAGCCAAGTGAAAGCCAACCACATGATTTATATGCCACGAGGATGGGGGAACAGGGTTAGGGTTCAAAAAATGTGGTCTACAAATGCGGAAACACAAAATATAAAAAGTTATAACTTATGCCCGACAGATTTGTGCAAGGTGCAAAGCCGTAGAAGGAACATTTTGCATACCAACTCGTATATCAATGCTACTACTTATAGAAAATACTTTGGATATATGTGAGACGAATTGGAGAGTAGTTGGGGGAGCTGTTTTCGCTATGACAACAACTTTCTGGTAGCTTAAGCTGAAGGGCAATTCCAAGTAGCGCTCCATCCCTTGCTGTTCGCTGCTCATTGCGATATTTACGCAAATTGCATGAGAAATCAATTATTCTTGAAATTGAAATTGACGTTTTTCTGACAGCTCGCCAAAAATGTTTTGAAGCGTGTCTAATTTCATTGTCAACGTGAGTCCTTGCTGCTCGTTTTGCTGGATTTTGCTAACCCTCATGCATCCATGGTACTCGCCCCAGGAGGCTCTTTAAGGCAGCTTCCACTCGACTTAAAGCAAAGGGATGACTGCATTCGGTGGAGGTCCTGACTGGGAATCCTAATTAAGCACGCACAGAATGCCAGAGACCCCAAAAATGTCAGGAGATATGTCAACGAGGCGAGAATCCGAATACAGACTTGAATGTCTGCACTCCGTAACAGAGAAAGCGAATTACGATTTCAACAAGAGTTGTACACTGCGCCTAGTTGGGGCTGCAAATTATTCAGTGTTAGGAGACAACAAAATTGCTGTTTTTTTTTAGTTTCAAATTGGGGTTGAGTGGTTTGAAAGAGAGATGCTGAGGATGATTTTGAGAGTGTTTTTGATACAAATAAGCAACATGCAAGCAGCAAGTTGATCTACTCTCAGCACAAGTGGAAATAAGCAGAGGATTTTGTCTCGTTTTTTAAACCCGTTTTCATTTATAATTTAAAGGCGTAAAAGCTGAAAACTCCTGTGAGGGATTTCAGGCACACAGAAACAGACACACCGACCCAGGCCCGAGCTCTTATCCGTTATGTACGGCTGGGCCTTGGTTGTGGGTGGGATACTGGCGACTATGTCTCGAAATATTACACCGTGAAGCATTTGTGCGTGTCCGCTGCCTGACAATACTCTTCAGTGCACTTGTCTGTGTGGCTTTCTCTCTGTCTCTCTGTCTGTCTGTCTGTGTGTCTGTGTGTTGGTTCCTGTTAGAGTGTCCTCTTCCATACCCCACGGCCAAGTGAATGCATGTGTATGTGTGTGTGTGTGTGTGTGCAGTGCACTTTTACGTCGCTGACGCATGGCTAATCTTTGGCCTACGGGTGCACTAAAGCCAACAACGGACAGCGCAGACACAGCTCGGACAACGGAAACAACAGCAAAAGCCCTGCAAACACTCCGAACAGTTGGGCTAGGCGCCACCCCCTCTTACTCACCTGAACGATGTCGCCTTGATCATGACCGGATGCTGTGAATGTCAAGTGACAGAGGAACGGCAATTTATTCCACTGTGGCGTTGGCACTTTTATGGCATAGGTGCGTCCAATATCCCCGTAATATGTACGATTGCACACTGCCAGCGAGAAAGAGAGATGGAGAGAGTGAGCATAGGGCAGGATTCTCCATGGAGGCCATGATTTACTCACCCGAACAATGTTTGGGCTCGTCGCTGCCATCGGCACAATCGCTGCGTCCATCGCAGTATTTGTCCAGAGGAACGCAAATGTTGCCACTGTTCCCGCTACCCTTGCAGGAGAACTCCGAGACGCGGCACGCCAGACCCAGCGTGGCCAGCAGTAGCAGCGTCAGCAGCACCGCAGGCAGCAGCAGTTGCAGTTGCCACGCCGTGTCCCGCATCCGTTGGTGGCAGTGTTTGTGGCGTCTCCCCATGCTGGTCAATATCTGAAAGGAAGGCGATGAATGGGAGATTAGTTGAGTCAACAAATTGTCAGGTGATGTGCAGGAATCAAAGGGTTCCAGTCAACTGGAAAATGAGATGGCGGTTGGGTTCGGCGACAGTTCAATGTGTGTGACTGTCCGGTCCCCCACACGAGTGAGTTCCTTAAAGGCCAGAGAGGAGCATATAGCTTGAGGCAGATAACTCTTTCGTTTATTAGCATATTCCTTAGATAATTTGGTTTATAAACTGCTTCCATTTTTCCATTTACTAAATCATTTCCTAAACAACATCATCTGCCAACTGCTTCAACATTCCCTTAATTTCTCAAGGCTCTTGCTACCCCAAAACTTTCTCTTTTTCTTTACTTCTGGGAGGAGGTAGCTCCCAGTCTCCAACTAATTATTTTAGCTTACAGCTTTGGCATATTTCCCGTTGGCCACTTGTAAGTTTCCAGAAGAAAGAGGGGAACGGAGTCAATCCCCAAGTAGCAGACGGCAGTCCTAAAAAGCAGGGGACTAAGTGTATGAAAGTGTCCCGGCTGGCATTATCTTCATTCCTTAACCCTCGCTGAAAGACAAGACACACACACACACAGAGCCACGCACACATGGCAAGTGTTCCGTTCCACTCAAGGGAGGGAAGGACACAATTATAGCACAAGTCGAGCGGGAAGCATATTGACAGGACGAACCCACAGGGGAAAGCTCCTACACAGCACAGCAACGAGCGAGATAAGGAAGGGGAAAGGGAAGCGAAGCGTTATGAGTGTTTTCCCGCTCGACACGCGCCGCTCTCTCTCTCTCTCTCTGCATGTCTTCCCTGCCACATTATTATGCTTTATTTCCGTGTGTCCCCGCTCTCGCCTGCTTTACTTTTATTAAAAAATGTCGTCAAATCTACACAGAGAAAGAATGTCCGGGGGAAGTCCCGTCGCCGCTTAAGACGCCGTCTCGGCATGTTGTCTTGGACTTTTCTCTCTGGCCTTTTAGTTTTTCCTTCTGCCCCTGGTCGTGGACCTGCTCCCGGTCTGAAGTGTTTACTACACTTCCGGCATATAATGGAAAACAAAAGGCTTAAAAGGGGATACACAAAGGATTTGAGCAATCAAGTGCGCTTCTGAGAACGCAGACCGATAACAGTTTTCTTTTTCTCTTTTTTCTCTTTTTTCCCATTTGGCTCTGCCTCTACCCTACTCGTGTTTTTTTTTCACCTGCCATTAACTTGGACGAGGCTCAATGATGGTTGGAAGAGGAAAGGCTCTCTCGCCTACAGTTTGTTTCAAAGTCATAACAATGCCGAGTTTTCAATATACGTTGCCCACACGTCTGAGTCATAAACTTCTCCCCCGAGCCTGTGTCACTGTGTGTGGGAGTGTGTGTGCCATGGCCAGGGCGAAAAAAGGCATAAAACTTCAAGTAGTTACGTCCAAATGTCTGCACGGTTTTAGCCAGCTCGACAGAAACAAACAGTAAAAGCCAAAAGGGTGGAAAGTGCAAGAGAGGGAGAGAAAGGGTTCCGCATGCCTTTTATGTCTAAACTTGTACTCGAACACGGAGGCAAAAAATACATTTAAATTCTATGGGGAAATGCAATGCAGGCAGGCAGGCACCTATGGCACTCGGGGATCCCTTAGGCTAAAACAAAATTTTAATTTTAAACTCAACTGAATTTCGGGGTAAAATATCATCAAAAACTATTGCCCAAAAAACGCTCCAGCTGCCTGTTTGATTGAGCTTAAGATTTTAGCTACACTCGACTGGACGGTGGATATCATGAATAAAGCTGAACAGGAAGGATAATTGCACGGACGAAGAATGAAGTGCAGACAAGAAGTCCAAGGATAATCGCTGGCAGCACGAGCGCCCGCACAGGTTCAGCCAAAAGGGAACATGGAAATGGCTTGTAAGTTATCCTCTGACCACATGCCAGCCAAACAGGAAGAAAGGAAGCTGCAAAAGAAAGAGGCCAAACAACAAAGGGCGAAGCAAAGAAAAAGATACATTGAACGTTACAGAGAGAGAGATTGAGAGAGAGAGAGAGAGAGAGAGAGAGAAGCTTTACCGGAAGAATGGCTGCCATGTAAGCCAAGTAATTTTATACAAAAATCCTCCATTTCCATTTCATTGTTGGCTCTCGTTGATCCTGTCCTGCTGCTAAGGCAGCTTCCTGCCAGTTAGCTACTCCATCCCCATTCGCATTTGCCATGCCGATTGGCCGTTTCCATGGCCATTTTCCACGCCATAGTTTTGCCCCGCACATCCCAAAGATTGTCGTGATTCGAAGGTCTTTCATTACATTTATGGCCACAGAGGCAGTCCAAAGGCAGGAGCTAGAGCCGGAGCAGCCTTTGCCTGTGCTAATCCAATCAATGCACTCTCATGCCTCGACACAATCAAATTCTAGTTACAATTTGAAGTCTCCTCACACTCATACGCACACATGTGCAGACACGCACGTACTCACACCCACGCAATTAGAAAGAGATGGAAAGAGAGTGAGTAAAGGAAACGGAAACTACATATGGAACTAGCATGAGGAAGGAACGACTGACAAGGACAGGACACGACAGGACATGAAGGACAGGCTGGGTAAAAATTTGCCACAATTGACAATGAATTTATGCGATGCTTATGAAAGGCTTACGGGGTAAGTCGGTTTTACCGAATGACAGAGTTTCTCTCGTTCTGTTCAAAGAGAGAGAGAGAGAGAGAATGCAGATTATGAGCGACAGAGACAGCTAGAGGTGATGACGTGCACACAGGAGAGACAACGGCAATGACGCAGGCGATGACAATGTTCCTCGCCTGCTTCTGGTCCTTCTCTGGACCCGTAAATAAAACGCATCTAGGCCAAAAAAAAAAGAGGAGAATACCTAACCAACGAAGAGAGCAGCAAAAGGAGAGGTTAAGAATGGAGTGGAGCGGGAAAGAGCCCCTTCAAAGAGGAGAGGAAAAATGGAAATTCTTTTGCTGGTAAAAATTACTCTGAAATGATGCTGCAAATGAGAGCATTTGTATTTTTTCCATTTCCCTGGGAAATGAAACAATTTTTATACCAAACAGGAGCAGCAAAAAAAAAGAAAACAAAACAATAATATTTATAATTAAATTAGGAAAAAGCAGCACTTGGCGGGGTGTGGTGTGGGGCAAGGCACTGGCCAAAGGCGGCATCCAATGGCCAGAAGGCGTCAGAAATTAGCATAACAAAGCCATTAGGCAAGAGGGGCACAGAGTAGCAGCAGTGGATTGTGATTTCAAAGGCGAAATCCAGACTGCCAACGCGGTGGCAATGACAGAGGCACAAGGCCAGGAACAGTGGGAGGTTCCGGGGCAGGAGTGCGGTTCGTGGGAAAGCGCTGCTGGGCAACGGCGGAAAAACGGCAAACACAAACACAAACAGACTACGAATGTCATCCGCAGAGCAGGATACCGCAGCCTACACATAGGGAAAATGTCATAAACACACCTTCAAAACAGACGCCCAAAACAACACAAAATAGCCCTAAGAAATTTGTTAAATTTATGCTAAACTTTTGGCTGTACTGAAACGATCGGTTTTGTGCTTACTGCAAGTAAGTTTCAGTTTTCGCTGATCCATTCTTCCAGTGTAGCCGTTTGCTGGTTGGCATTTTTTTGTTTGCTCTCTTCTGCTTTTCCGCTGTCTACGTGGGAAGCTACTTTTTGAGTAATGGCCAAGATTACGCTGCAATGTAAGGGAGCGCTGGAGAGGAGAGCTGGGTGGAGGATAGAGACGCGGTCCTGCCGCTTGTCTTTGCACAATTTAAAGTTGGTGTCACGCATCACGCTTCGGTCTAATGAGTCTCGTTTCTCCTCTCGTTTTCGCCCCAACGTTGCGCTATCGTCTCTGTGGCAACAACGTTGCAACGTGATTTGGCCAGCCAACGCAAAACTCAATCAAGCTGCGGCCCACAGGGAGACGAGAGTCAGACGGATAGAGGGCACGCCCTCTGATGTATTGCGGCGGAGACACTGCGGCGTATGGGCAATATATAATTGGGAATTGGCTGCAACTGAATTAATCAGAGGAGAAGGAACAAGAAAAAAACGAGCATTTCATTGTCATCATTGGATTGTTAGCATTGGATGATGGCCTCAGATAGAAGATATATGGCCATAATCAGTGTTGTCTGTAGCCGTTACTCTTCCACTATGTTCCACTTGGCCGCACAGAAATTTAATCAAGTTCTGCCTTGGTCCCCACAAGGGTCGGTTACATTTTACACACCCAAAGTCATTTGCCTTATAATATGACTTATTTGCCACATACTATCGCCATCTCCCTGGCCCTTGACTATTTTTCATGCTGGGGTAAATACCAAAAGTCATGGCCATCAAAGTTGGCAAACATAAAACTGACGCAGGTTCAGCAGTTCTGCGAGTTTTTGCCACATTAAAAATGTAAACTTAATTTTAAAGCCAAGGCGGAGGGACCTCTGGGAGCCTCTCTCCTTGCGTGCAGAGTGAAGCTGGGGAGAATGCAGTGTGCGGGGAATTTTTAGTTCCGAGTCGGAATTGGTAGTGTGGGGACGGAGGCAGGAGGCAGTCTCATACAACTATAATGCCGAATCCCGACGGTTCTTTCGCTGAGAAAACATTGCGCATAAAATGCCAAATGCTTTTCGGTTCTGTAAGCATGTGTATGGGTGTGGGCTCCGCTCGTAAAGCAAACGATTGTGTAGCCCAAGCCCAAGCCCAAGTTACAACACTGACAACAATGTAGGGACCGACGCCAGTCGTGGACTGTTTTTATGCCCCGCAAAAAGAACTGCATGAAAAGGCCGCTGCCCCGCTGCCCGCTGTCAGAAAGTCGAACAAATTGCATATGAGCATTTTGCATTTTCAATTTAAATTTTTCGCGCTCACTTCGCCAGGAATCTCCCCAAAAAAACGAAGACAAGCAGCTGGGCTGGGCTGTAAAGGGTGCAAATTGAAATTTCACGCCATCTCTGCATATAATTTCACGCCATCTCTGCATATAATTT